ATAAGTGGTGCAATATATGCGTCATATTTACAATATATAACATACATATATATNTTATATATACTTAAATCTTCGATGTTCTAGTTCACTCGCATCATTTGCTCGATGAAACAAAACTTAGATGAGTGTTTGTTAGATTGTAGGACAACATTTGATGATATTTTCGAATAGATTAATATCACTGTTGAAATTCAGGGAGATGCTCGATAGGATTCAGGTAAACGCTTGACGAGATTCAGACAAATATTTACTGAGATTTAAATAAATGATTGATGAAATAATGATGAATGCCTGATAGGTGTTCGGTATATGTTTGATAAAATTAAGGTAAATGCATGATAAGATTTCGAAAAAGATTGCTAAAATTAGGGCAAATCGTTGAAAAGATTCAGGTGAATGCTTGTTGATAAAATTAAGATGAATGATTGATAAGATTTAGTGAATGCCAAAAAAGTTTCAGGTGAATGCCTGATAAAGTTAAAGAAAGGCTTCATAAAAATAAAAATTCCAGTTATTCAGAGCAGAAAAGAAAAAAAATTTTTTAAATTTTCAAGATTTAAGATGGCAACTGAGCATACTATTTTGATGTAACTGACGACCGATGGAAAAAAGTAGTTCGGTGCCTGTCTATGGTGCTTGCTAAATGTCATCATTTAAAATTAGAATGAATTAATTAAGGTAGATGACAACATGGTCAAACAATAATTGAAAAGAATGCAAAAGAAAATAAATAAAGATAAAGCATGGGGAAAAAGAAATCACAAAATTAAAAACACTTGGACTTAAAAATGTGTATTAATATTTTGAAAGCCATGGTAGGAAAGGCATTAGACGACAACAGCAAAATTGAAAATCAGAATTAAAAAACAACAGAAACGAACGAATCATATCGCAGCTTGAGACATCGTTTGTATAGGTAGGTTGACTAGAAAAGTAAATCGAGAAAGTAAACGAGACATGCAATGTAGACATGCAAGCTCTGGTCAATTTTTTACACAAATTCATACATATATAGTAAATAAGACGTGAAGGAACTTCAACCCACCAGAGAGACAATTCTTGCCAAACGATTTTGCAAAGACTGTAAACTGCCAATTGATTTATCAAAGATTTTGTAAAAAATACTGTCGCCCCAATCCAATTTTTAATGGACGAATGCATGAACTAAACGTTTTATTGTGTCTTTATCGAGTGATTTTCTAATTTGTCCGAGTCTGTAAAGCTAAATGCCACATTCCTTGCCCAGCATCTTATATATGTATATATATATATATATATATTATATATATATGTATAATATATATAATATATACATATAATTTTGACAAAAAAATTTTCCAGACATTCAAGCGCACAAAAAAGACAGAGAAGCAATCTAGGTAAAAAAAATGAAAGAAATTAACAAATTGTATCTAATACTAGAACCTGAAAATTTCAAAAAATCCCGCATAGTTTACTACTACTTGAAAAAAAAACATCATAATTAGTTAACCATAATTATTATATAATCTGCATAAAGGTCAGAATTAAATGAAACTTGAAATAAAATGACAAACTTGTTATAACAATGAAACTACATGCATGCACATACATTTCAATTATATCAATATATATATATATATATATATATATATATATATATATATATATATATATATATATATATATATATTATGTGTGTGTGTGTGTGTGCGTGTGTGTGTGTGTGTGTGTGTGTGTGTGTGTGTGTGTGTGTGTGTGTGTGTGTGTGTGTGTGTGTGTGTGTGTGTGTGTGTTAGGCTGAGAATGTTAAGCAGAATATAAATTGCTAGCTATGGCAATATAAATATACCTACGTTAAAATATGTTGTTACAGTGGTGAAAACGATTCATTCTAACAAACGTTACAGTGCAAGACGTCAGAAGTTAATCGCAAAATGTTATTTTTGTTAATTTCGAAATGAATGATAAAAAAATAATCCAAACTGAATTGAGGAGAAACTTAATTAAGGAAATTAATGAAATGTTGGTTAGTGTTGGTCAAAAATATCGTTATAAAGAACAGTGAAGGAGACTTAACTATAATAAAGTTTTTGCAAATGTATACCGGTCCACATCAATTGCTGTCGAAGTGTTTAAAAATAATAGCCATTAAATCATGCTGTATAAATCATCATATCTTAATTTATATTTAACACTTCAACATGTTTTTCACTCATCTCATTTAATAACTTGTCACTCAGACTTACAATTTATTCATCTTTTTTAACAAAGTTTATTCCATGAAACGTAAAAATACTAAAATACAATTTTGATAAGATCTAAAATTGGAAATAATTGAATAAAACATAAAAAAAAATAATTAAATTTAAATATATGAAAAACAAAAATGATTGAATGAAGTTTAGACATAGATAGCTGTGCTGATGCGAATGAAGCTAGCCTACTTTTGATACAATAAATAAATCAGAACATTAAAAAAAACTAAAAAAATAAACAGACACTAAACAGCAAGCATCCACACTTTACATTTCAATCATGCAAAATATATGTAATAGTATATTTATAAGCAGGTAAACGGATTAGCACGGAAAAATAACAACAACACAACAAAATATAACAACAATAAACAACACCTTACAGACAAATATAAAACCACACAGCAATATCGCCTAATCAACAAACCACCACACCCAACTGATCTCAACCATTATAAGCGTAGTCAGCCTTGTTGTGCATGACCAGCTTGTTGTCGACGAAGTAGAAACTGTCTGACCTCGTTTCGTAAGGACTGTTTACCATGTCGTCAACTGTTGGCGTCATATGTTCAAATTTTAAATTAACTTATTCGCAATATTTTAACAACTGTGCATTCTATTGAGATGTTTCCATATTTTATTTACAGCTTGGCACGTTAGCATCTGTAAGTTCCCGAGGTAGGACGTTGTTTTCTTTGCCATCAACTTTTTTTCAACTTTGCTTAACTAAACCCTGCTTTCAGGTTGGCAAATTATCTTTTCGAAAAATCTAATTTTTCTAAATGGACACAAGTTTGATAAACGCAAATGAATAACTTTTGGAAATAATTTATGATCATTGGTAGCATTATAATTAAAAAATTAATTTTTAAAATTACTGGCGATTCTAAATACTGACATAATTCATTAGAGAGTTCAGGCAGTTCGTAGATATGTTCCATGGTGTTCTTGCTGTTCGGGATGACGAATCCAAACTCAAAATCAAAACACTTGAGCAGTCTGTCCTTGAAGTAATGCCTCTCAACCATCCGAAACTTTTCAACTGGTTTGTCTCCAATCGTGAACTCCACGCTGTATGTGTTGTGTGTGCATGTGTGTGTGTGTGTATGTGTGTGTGTGTGTGTGTGTGTGTGTGTGTGTGTGTGTGTGTGTGTGTGTGTGTGTGTGTGTGTGTGTGTGTGTGTGTGTGTGTGTAATATATATGTTGTATACAGTTAATGTTTGCTAACAGATTTTTTCTAATCAGAAACACTTGTGAACAGATGATAGCATGGCAGAGAATAAACGTTCAAGCATCAGAAAATAGCATCATTCATCATAAAAAATGGTACTTCACACATTCAATTATGAAATATAAAATTCGTCATCTATTGTTTTATTCGACAAAAATGTTCCCACATGTATGTTTGTTAGATAATCACACTAACACGTCATATTTTAAAAGACTTCAAAAGAAATACAAGAAAAAAAGTAATAAAAACAACATAAGCATATAAAAACACAAAAACATAATAATGAGATATGCAAATTTAACTAACATGGCACCGACAGTTTTCAATTTGAGGAAATAGGGATTAAATTGGTACCTGACAAACCTACCAGCGTTGGGGTCCAACGAATCCCCCTCACTATCAACTGATAAGAACATTCATTAAAATAATTAATTAATTAATTAATTAATTAATTGGCCAATTAGTCGATTGGATAATTATTTGATTAAATATGTAATTGGCAGTTACAAGTTATGAAATAAATACAGAGTTTACCATGGACAAAAGTAGAAAATAAATAAAACACATTAAAGATCTTTTGGGAAAAAATTTTTTCCTAAATAATTAAAATTCGGATAAAAATAAAAAATGTATTTAGAAAAAAAAGAGTTTCCCAAAAAGACAAAAAAATATCTGATTCAGTAAATAGCTGATAAGCCATTAGATCAGAATTTGAAAGACAAATTTCTTACCAGCTGGAACATTATCTGGCTTGGCAACTTCGAAAAGCGTTGTACCACTGTCAACGTCACGAAGTTTGAAATGCACGAACTCTATGTCATAAATGTTGGCCTCCAGAGGGCACAGATAATCTTTAAAGACATTCAAAAATTATATAGTACAAAAGAAAAGTCAACTTTTAAGTTTGGGATTTCCATTGTAATGTTTCTCACTCTCTTAGATGATTGTTATAAATCTTAATATGTGTTAAATACATATATATACATATTTATATACATATATATCAACTAGTTTACACAAATGGACATACATGAAACCAACTCAAGACTGGTTAGAAATAGAAATTTAAAAAATAGTGACCAGTTATTATTAAACATTTAGATTTCATCAATGTAATGTATAAATTAAGGTCTTCTCCTAGCATAATAATAAAATATATAGGCCTTTGTGTTATAAAAAGCATAAAGAGTAAGTAATTAGCATAAAAACTAAAAAGTAATTAGCAAATGTGCTACTAAGGGGTAATTAGCATATTATGTATATGCTCCATTAAGCTATCAGAATTTATTTCTAATGCAAAATGAGATTTTTAGGGAACAATAAAAATTATCCTCACCCTTAGAAACGGTTTTTAAATTTATAAATTGTCACAAAGTAACTTGAAAATACAGTTGTGAAATTGAAACACAAAGCTAACATGAAAAAAATGCATACAATATGTGAAAACTTTTTTAAACAATTCTATCTGTGTGATTTCAAATTAATTCTGCTGTAACGTTACTGTTAGATAAATTATTCATTATAGATTTCACGCAATTAATGGAGAAAGTTAAAAACTATTAACTATATTTTCATTAATCATAATTACAATAGATTTAGAATAAAACAGAGAAGAGAATTATACTAGAGTATATTTTATGTTAAAAATATAAAGAGCAAGATAAGGTACCTTTGAAAAAATTAAAAATTATTTCACTGCCCAACTTACATTTACTTACACTTTAGCCTAAAAAACTCTATATTAAAGTTTAGACTTATATGTCATAACTAGAAGTCTGAACAATTACAGTTAAACTTTAACTGTAATTGTTCAGACTTCCAGTTATGACATGTCAAACTTTAACTGTTAAAGTTTGACTTCACAGTTACAGTTAAACTTTTATTAATATAATAAATAATTTATTGTATTAATACATATTATTAATTAAATATATTTTAATTTAATTATTATTAAGACGATTCAACACAAACTGTCGGTGGCCCTGCTAAGTTTGAGAACGTCTTCTGGAGTGATGAATGGTTTGCACATCAGTTCCTCCTCCGTCTGCAATCTGCTGGCCACATCGTCCGCTGTGGTAGCTGCAATGGACCGCAAAATTGGGTTGCCGGACGAAACTTTCGAGTTTCTAACTGGAACACTCATTCTTTTAGTTAGTTGAGAAAGTGAATTTTAATCTATAAAACGAGAATATGTAGGCGAAAATTTGACTAGAAGAAATTTAAAATGATAGCTAATAACTAAATAGAAATATCAACAAAATGTCTTAGCGACAGACACTCAACGTACGAAGCCACAAAATAAACAGGAAAAAGCTATTCGTAAAAGTTAATTGTGTTGGATCATTTATTAATCCTTAAATTGGTTAAATTGGTTAATTTCTCTGGTTTTTATAGAAAATAATGCAAGTTCTTATTCGGTTTTTGCTACGTTTTATTTTATCTATAAGATAGACAATTTATGAATGACTTTAAGAAGCAATGACAAACCAAAATCAAATAGGATTCATTCATTTTTAATGATAAAATGGCATTTATAAATTCTCCTAGCTAATCAAAATAATGCATAATATCAATAAAAATACACATGTAACAGTAATAAATGAAATAATAATATTCATATGTTGGTTTTTATGTACACTGGTGTCTTATTCAATCTCCAAAGTCCATTTTATATTTTATAAATCTGTTTTTTTTTTTAATAAATTAATTAAAACCATCAATTGACGACGCCGAGCCAATAGCGTTTGTTCCAATTGTTTTCACAAGTCGTGTACGTACAAACTTCACAAACATCGTCATCGTCGGTAGTACCAAAAACATCATTATTATAATCAGTTTCATCATTATTATTACTACCGAGTTTATCGTTAAAATAATTATCCGTATCATCCGTATCATCATTATCGATACCACCTGACATTAACTTCCTCGGTTCATTATTTGCAACGTCATCATCAGTCCAATCATCATTAGCAGGCAACGCGTGTGATGCATTCGATGACGACAATTTTTTGCGGTTTAGAAACTTGTTAAGATTAATTTTTAGAAAACAAAGACCACGCTTGTTTTTATACAAGCGTGGTCTTTTTTTTATGTCATCAATCCATCTTCTGCCTTCCTTTTCGTTTCGTCCTTTGTAATAAAGTTTTTACATGCATTGGTGTTTCCTGAAGATGTGGCTAATGTAGCCTAATTTTCTTTTTTTGACTTCAGGCAGTAATTTTCATTGTAATTTTAAGCATGATAGAACGTTTACTAGAAAAATCTTGGACAACAAAGTTGAAATCTTAAATAACAACAACAACCATTATAACCATCTTGCTGCCAACCAATAACACTGAATTTTTTATTGTCAGTTCCTCTTCAGTCAGTCACCTGCTAGCCACATGGTCCACCGGGGAGGTGGCTGCAATGGTCCGGCGGAACTTTCGAGTTTCTAACTGGAACATTCATTCTTTTAGTTAGTTGAAAAGATGAATTTTAATTTATAAAACGAGAAAATGTAAGCGAAAAGTTGACTAAAAGAAATTTAAATTGACAGCAAATCACTAAAAAGAATTATCAACAAAATGTTTTAGTGACAAACACCTAGATTACGGAGTTACAAAATATACTGGAAAAGTTCATTATAAAAGTTAATTGTGGTTGTTTAAAATAAATAAATAAAACAATTTATACAAGTTTATTTCAATTTTCTTTGGTTTTTATAGAAAACAATCTAAGATTTAATTTGATTTTTTGCCATGTATTTTCTTACATTTTATGCCATCTATATGAAAATAGACAATTTATAAATGATCGTAATAAGGGACAGTTACATATCAAAAACAAATTGGATTCTTTCACTTTCATTGATAAAACGACATTTAAAGTTTCAAAATTATTCAAAATAATACGTAATATCAATAGAAATGCACATGTAACGATAACAAATGAATGTGGAGACTTATTGAAAATAATTTGTGTATTTTATGTTCACGTGTTGGTTTTATGTGTCAATAGAACCATACAAAAATATATTATACAATCTGCTAAGTCCATTTTATATTATTTTATAAATCGGTTTCTTGAATAAATTAATTAAAATTGTTAATTGCATTGCTTATTGCAATAAAAAAGTTTTTATGCATCTGCTGGTATGTTGACAATGCCGAGCCAATAGGGTTCTTTCAAGACGTTGTAACCAGTCGTGTACGTACAGACTTCACAAACATCATCGTCGTCGGTAGTACCAAAAACATCATTATCGTTAAAATTGTTATCCGTATCATCATTTTCTCCATCAACATTACCACCCTCATCATCATTATCGATACCACCTGACATTAACTTCCTCGGTTCATTATTTGCAACGTCATCATCAGCCCAATCATCATCATTAGCAGGCAACGCGTGTGATGCATTCGGTGATGACGATTTTCTGTTGTTTAGGCACTTACTAAGGTTAATTTTTTGAAATAAATTAGAACGCTTGTTAAAAATAAAAAGACAGTTTTTGATGATGAAGTTTAGAGATTCTTTCACCGGTTTCTTCATTTTAATCACGTACGACCACTGACCAGTTGCACAGTCATACATCTCTAAGCTCTGCCAATTAGTTTTTTGTATAAACTTTGTACCATTATTTGGGCAGATTAATGTTGAGTTGACCGTCAAATGAAATAAGTTATTAGCGATAATTTACTTTAAGACTTAGATAACCAAAACATTAAGAAACGTCATTGTTAACAGAAAAACTGCGGCAAACAACATAAACAACAACAAATACAAAAAAAGCTAACCATAGAATTCTTTTTAGAGTCCAAATCACCAAATACAAAAGGAACATCTCTAAAGCTGACCATATCGTGCCCAAAACGCCTACTACTTAACATCAGGGGTTTTTCTGCCCATCTGTTGGATGCAGGATCATACTGCCACATTCGCTTCTCTGCTTCATAACCATTAGGAATATTGCACCCTCCACTAACATTTATCATCCCGTTACATGAACAACATAAAAAATGATTGCACATCACTGACATGACATAATATATTAACTTGAAACAAATTTATCAAACCTGCTATGCAAGCAACGTCAGCTGGCAAAGGAGTCAACATGCACCATTTGTTTCTCTCTGGAATGTATTTCTCAACAGCCCCGATACTGGAAAAACCAGCGACAGCGTACAAGTGTCCATTCATCTCACCAAAATAGAACTTGCTTCTTGCAACGTTCATGTCATACAGCTGAATACAAATAAAAAATTAATTAATTAATAAGAAAAAAATTTAATTCTAAAATAAAAGAGATACAAATTGGCTTTGATCTTTCATAAGTTAAATGAAACATTGAATAGTTCTAACTCTCAACCACTGTGAAGATGTCAAATCGTATGCAAAAGTTCGTTTTCCTTCTCCAGCCATATACAAACGATTGTTGAGATAACAAAACATCCCAACTTTATAACCGGAAGGTGGACCTCGTTTGTCACTAGCGTTGAACTCGAACTTTTTACTATCTCTATTTTTGCAGGTTTCAACAAAATCATACACGGACATTGAGTAACTTTCATCATATTTCTTATTCTGTAGAATAAATTGTTATTTTTCGTTTTCAACTGGATTAAATTTGTGTTTATTAATTCTGTTAGCAAGAACCTGTTAATAAGATCAGCCAAATACTAAGATCAGATCTTCACAAGCGGATTAAACATACCTGATTTATTTGGCTTAATTGCACCAGAAAATAGAAAAAAGGCTTCAAAATTGGCAAACATGGCAAATCCACAAACATGGCAACCACAAAAAATAACGTCTACTGACAAGTAGGGGCGTGGTATGTAAATAATTTTAGGGTTTTAAAAGTTCAGACCTTTAAATGTTAGCATAATATTAGCACACTGTTCGAACGAACGCATTGAAATGTTTTTTAAAACGTATATATGATCAACTATGATGCTGCAAGACAATAACCGAATTTTAATCCTTAAAATTATATTTAATAGTTAAAAAACCAGTGGCGGATTCTTAGGGGTACGATCGCCCCTCCTACTGAAATAAAGGAAAAAGGGAAAAAACTTAAATAAGAAACAAATTTTACTTTGAAGAGATGAAATTTGATAGGTAGCAGTGGCGGATCGATGGGGGGGGGCGATTGTTGGCAAACTTTTTTTTAGAATTTCTAGTTTAAACAGTGTAGATTTAAATTTACTGACATGATACGGGGGTCCATTGCGGATAAGATCGCGACGCATATGACGTCTTAGTCACATGAATTAATATTCATAGTAAAAAATAATTTAAACGTTTTTTGAATTGTGAGTTTACCCGCCTTGCCAGAAATTGTGGGTTGCCAATGACACCTAAAAATCGCCCTCCCCTTTTTATATGACCTGGATCGTCAATGTAAAAACATATTGTGTGTATATATATATATATAATATATGTGAAATGTTTTCTAATAAATAAATACTATGTTTTTCAAGGATGGATCTCAGAGGGCCCGTTATTTGTGGCAAAAGTTAGTGAAAGTCGTTGCTTCAAGTTTTTGAAGGGAGGAAAATAGACATTATAAGCACCTCCGTGAGCACAAAAAATTTTAGAAAACAAATTTATTTAAATTCCCCCGTTCATCAAATTTGTTTTGTTATCAAGTTTTTGTTAAAAATTCACTCTCCCCGGTCCTTGATTTCTATAGATTTATTGAAATCCTTCTCTTTTTTGCCTACTTTTTAGAGAATTCCCTCTTCCTGGTCGTTGATTTTTTTGTAAATAAATTTCCCCCGGTTGTCAAACAATTTTCCAAATCATCTTGACCAACACCCGCGTCAGAGTTTCTTAGATCGGCCACTAGCGTTTTTTGAATATCCCAATGGGGTCTTTTTATCCGGTATTTACTATTTCATGCTTGCGTAATATAAAAATAATGTGAATGAATCAAAAGATATTTTGAAAAAAATTTGTCTAGCATCAAAGTAAAAATGAGCAGCCTACCGTTATACCATCCATGAAAGCTAATAACTTGCCAACACTTCGATAACGATTTGAATTTTTTCCAGTTTTTGAAACGTTTAATTCCATTTTCTTGAGCACGTCAACACATTTTTGTTTTTCTTCTGTAGACATCAAATTGAACCTGACTTCTCTAAAAACATTTTCGGCATATGGTCTTCTTGATTCTTTAGCAGAAATCCAATCAGCGATTAATTTAAAAATATCGAACTCACTCTCTGCATTAACAAGATCTGATTTGACCAAATGAAGCAAAATATCATATAGCAAAATTTCAGGGCGTTTTGCAATTTTCTTAAAATTTTTCAAAACAAATTCATGAATTTTGTCGACCACCTCAACTAAAGTGTACTTTTTTGCAAATTTCTTGAGACGTGCATACGATGAATCATTCAAATGTCTCAAAAGGTGTTTAAGATATAAAGTCATCATGTCATTAATTTGCAAATAGGACGCACCATCAAAACCTCTTTCTATATTTTTCAATCGCTTCATTTTTTTAGTCCTCATTTTATTTTCTTTCTCGCTGCATCGAGAGATCAGTAAAAATTCTTTGATCTCTTGTAGGCATAGATCGGAAAGACATTCGAATGCAAGTTCACTAAAGTGTGCATCTCTCATTCCACTGTTGACAAGGGCTTGGTAATAATCGCTGGTCTCTATTAATGAAACCCTGGATACGTCGAAACGACCACCTGTTTTTGAAATGAACACAATCGTTTGCAAATGATCGGCAGCTTCACCTTTCCCCATTTTGTTCATTCCTGTCTCCATTGCTCGATTATAAAACAATTTTTGTATTCGGCGCAACAAGTTAATTTTAAAAACTTTACAATCAATTCACGCGTGCTTTAAAAGTAAACACGTGCTGATAATTAACGGAGAAAAGACAGTAAATATATAACTTTGGCTTGGTCATCCAAAGATACAATTTACGACAAGATTTTTTTAATTCGGAATTTTATTTATTTACTAAATGATTCGACCTACCTATTTAGTAACACATAAGTTAAAAAATATAAAAATTTTCTGATAAGTAACTTAAAGACTAAATGATATTAATTGTATTCGGCGCAACAAGTTAATTTTAAAAACTTTTCAATCAATTCACGCGTGCTTTAAAAGTAAACACGTGCTGAAAATTCACAAAGAAAAGACAGTAAATATGTTATATATTTATATATGGCTTGACTCATCCAAAGACACAATTTACGACAAGATTTTTTTTATTCTATCACGAAATTTTATTTATATACTAAATGACTTGACCTACCAATTTAGTAACACATAAGTTAATAAATGTGAAACATTTTTGATATTTAACTTAATAAAATAACTAGATAAAATAATTATCCTAACATTGTATTTATTTGATACGCATCCTAATATTAAACGAATCGCAATCATTTAGTTGCCTCAGTAACCAATGCCCATATATACGTGTAAAGTAAAATATATAGGCCATTTCATTGTAAAAAGCAGATTGTAGAGAAATTAGCTCATTGCGCTAAGGGGTAATTAGCATATTATGTATTTGTTCAAACATGATATCATTGATCACGGCCCCTTGGACTTTCCCAAACAAATGACCAAAAAGAAAACAAAATAATCCCTGATGTGAATTAATTTTTTTAGTACTTATTCAGATAGTCAAAACAGGTTTATTTCTTGTCAATTTTATTACATCGTTGATAATTCCTCGATTGTTTATCTGCACTTCAAGATATTCCTGTAAATTTTTCGATGTACTATTATTTCTTGATGCAATAAATTGCTTTCTTATAATAATAAAAGAATATGCGATTAGGCGTTTTATCGTGACAAATCGTGTTTGTTTTATTTGGAATGTATGTTTTGTTTTATTGTATGTGTGCTTGTTCGCGTGTGCATGTAATTCAGTATACATTGTTGGTATACAACGCATTGGTAATTCTCAAAAATATAGGGATATTTCAAACACCATTAAGCGTTTTTTCTTTTCTCATTCCCATGACTGATTAGTTGGTAATAAAATTTTTGGTTTTTGTTAGAATTATTATTGAAAGTTGATACAGTATCGATGAAAATATTTCTGGCTACTAGAGGTGAACGGGAATTGAAATTTGTTCCCAATGCCCACCCAAAATTTGCACTGCTTTTAATTAGCTGCTAAAAGATCCAAAAATAAATAAGAATTTTAATTTGTTGGCTTCAATTAGTGTTGACATTTCAAAAATCACATATTTAAACGTAAAAAAAACTGTAGAAAATTTAAAAAACGTGAAAAGAACTTGTTGAAAATTCAATGAATTTATAAAAGAGGTACATTTTCATTGGCATAGCACAACTCAACGTTCGATCAATCAACTAAAAATCTATTAAACAAAGTCAGTTGATTGCAATTCATAAAAAATCAATTGAAAAAAATCAGAAACATGTTATTAAATTGATCAAATGGCACGTCGAGTTCAACTGATGAAAAGAAAGCAACAAAAAATCACGCATCCTTTGTTTGTTTCGGTAAAACAAATTAATAAACTAAATAATTTGAAAAATGTATATAACAACGTTCCTAGTTATGCTTATATCTTTTATATAAAACATATATAATTCTTAAAAGGCAGTGAAACATATACATATAATTGAAATTATTTAATTTTACTAGCAGCAAAATATTAGATAAATTTATTTTTCCAACTATAGAATCCAAGTTGTAATGATGTTAAAGGCGATTTTGATCGTGGCTGCCTTGGGCTTCGTCCAAAATGGTGAGTATTGAATATTGTTCTGTCTGTTACTGCCTTATGTGATCGAACAGTTCATAAGTTTTATTTATATTCATTATCATGTGAAATGTTTAAACGTTTTGTAACTTATCGAGTGCGTTTTATGTCTATTTTTTTTATTAAATTTTAATCCTATCTTTTTATCTAGCTGAGATAAAGTGAGATGAATTAATAACAGGGAACCGCAAGTTAATAAAAAAAAAGAATAGGAAAAACAGAAAAGCTAGCACGAATAAGACATAAAATAAAAGCGTTATCAATCGATGTCACGCAAAAAAAAATTATATTCATCATCGAGGTCATCATCATCGTCGTCGTCGTCATTATCATCATTGCTATATTCAATGTTTTTTTTTAATTATCATCATCATCATAATTGTTGTTGTTGTTAGCATTTTACTCGGAATCATTGATTGCCATTGACAACATCATTGATATCTTTATCGTCGACCAGTAGCATGTGGTAGTGGTACATTGTACTTAATAATGGCTGTAGTAAAATATACAGTAATTTGATATTAGTAGCAGCTGTAGCAGAAGTGATAGCAGAGGAACGTTGCAGTGACTGTAGTAATTGTAGTGGCATTATAAGTAGTAGTATATGAGATTTTTATATTAACTATTACTAAGATTGTTTTTTAAATAATACAAATTATTTAAAATATAAATAGAAATAAATCTCTGGACAATAATAATGTGAATTAAATTTTTCAAATTTTTTTGTAAAAATAAAACAACCGACAGGTTTTAAAATATATTTTCAAGCAAAGTTTTAATTTCAGCTAATTCATTGTTCATAAATTTCTAAAGAATTTTTTATGATATGTTTAAATACTACAAATTTGAATAATTGCTTTTATCAATTTAAAATTCGTTCATTCAAATTCAAATTCACATTCAGCTACCATTAGAGGTAACGGTCATCACATTCAGCTACCATTTGAGGTAACGGTCATCACATTCAGCTACCATTTGAGCTGGCTCGCATTGGTACGTTGTCACTCCTTTCGCTTTGTCAAAATAATCATAGCAATTAGGAGTTTCTTCGGGACAGTTCAACTGTTTGTATGGTGTTAATGTACAGTTATTTATTGCTGCATAACTCACAGATTTACACACACACACACATACACACACACACACACACACACACTTACTCATTATATATATATATATATATATATATATATATATATATATATATATATATATATATATATATATATTAGCAATAACAATAATGCCAACAATGATAGGATAAACCATTTTAATTATATTAATAATAAAAAACATAAAAAATGACCTCTGCACATGGGTCTTTGCATGTACAAGTTTCACATTTATTACTGTCGACCACGCGTCCTGATATTGGGCAGTTGTTGGCAGGACACGCCAGCTTCGGACACTTACCAAACCCTTTTAAATGACGTTCAGCAGAATTTTTGACATTAAAATGTTGAGTTGCGAGAAATGGTAATGACCATAGACGCCTTGTCTTGTTTTTGTTTTTGTAGTGAGGGAGTTCGAATGCGAAGAGATCCCCGTCTAACACACACAATGTGATTTCTATATATTTCTATATATCTATATGATTTCTTTTTTTTATTATTTTTTGAATATGTTATCGACGTTACATTTTTTCAAAATTTCTATTTTGCTTTTTTGTTATTTGTTTTTATTTTTAACTGATATGTTTTTTTACCAGTCAAGAGTATGCTGCTTCTTTTGGCCCTTTTCTTTAAAACTCTCTACCTTCTTTTCTGACTCTTTTATCACTTACGAAGTTCAGAGCGGCTCTCAAGTCTTAAGACCCAAATGTTTAAACAATTCACTGAGGAGCGCTGTTGAACATCTCGGAAATAATGCTTTACAAACGTTTTAACTTATTGATTGATTGATAATATTCATCTCTTTTATATTTTTTCCAATTCACTGTTTAAATAAATGAATAAATAAATGAATGAGTTAATTAATTAAGTAATGAAGAATGAACAACCAAAAAAGTTAATGAATTAGAAAAATTATTTACCCAAGTTTAAAAAACAACTTGCCAAGATCAACCACAGGAACATGTTGCTGCCCTGCATCTGAGAGCAAAGACATTTGTTAAATTAAAAATATTTGCATGGTAAAAATAAAATTTATCGCTATGCGAAGAATCAATACGTAAAATAAATAATATTATATCTACAGTCATTATTATTTGCAATTTAATTAAATAATAACAATACTATTAAAACAGTAAAAAAGAATCAAAATATAAAAAAATCTTTACTTTGAATGTAATCTACCTGTAGTTTCTACTAACCTGTTTGAAAAATTTTGCATGCATTTATAGTCAACAAATTTATATAAAGGTTGTTTTATAGTACAATATAAAAATGTAAACAAGTGAATGAATAATGATATTATTGTAGGGATCATACGAACTGAAAAAAATTAATAAAAATTTAAAAATGTTCAAGTAAAGGTATTTTTAAGATATTCTGAAAAATCACATCTATGTAAGAAATATTTTAGTTTTTAAAAAAAAAGTTAAAATGTTTTTTAATTGTAAAATGGCTATTTCTTTGAAACTCCCTTCCTTGCCTTTTACATAGTGCATAAAAACTTGTAAGCACGCGTTGACGACGTGTTATTAAGTTGCAAGTTGGTTAGAAATTATTTTTTGCTTGTCGATCGATGTCTATTCTTTTGTTTTAATATTTTTCCAAGTTTTTCTTCACATTTCAAAAAAACTATTCTATAAATAATTTATTTTAAGTTACCAATCACGCAATTGAAAAATTTCTTTCTCGTGTTTATCGTTGATTCATCGTCGTCGTCATTATCATCGGTGCTATTTTAAGTCTGTAATTTTATTATCATCATCTTCATAGTTGTCGGCATTGAATTCGATATCGTTCATTATCATTTACAACATCATCGTCGCCCAATCATCTTTTACATAAATGTATAATAATTATATATATGTACATGTTTTATGTTTCCCAAGCCCATTCAAAATGTGTACGCTGCTAATTATAGGAGTTCGATATTGGTCATAGTCATAAGAATAATTAATCTTACCTGAAGTAACTAACTCATCTGGTACAAACTTGTAGTGATTTTTTCATACCTAACCATGGAATTATTACAAACAGTTGGTGCTTCATTTTGAAAATAATGTTGTGCATCAAGTACTATTTTTGTACAAACATGACAGGTTTGGTTGTCTTTCAAGCGTTGGTGCAGTTATGGTACTTCTGTTTCTCTTCATGGAGAGCTTCCTCGAAGACAATCCAAGAATCACAAATTTTTTATCATGTACCGTTAAAAAATTTTGGAATATCAAATTTTTTAAACCTGTTTTTGCTGTATTTGGTGCTCTCAGAGTTCATCTGGTTGAGTCCTTCTATAGTGTAACCATTGCTACAAGAACTTTTCATTCTCAACTGAAGAGTTTTTATGAGACTCTTTCAGGAAATGTCAAAAAATGTGAAAAGAATGAAAAAACATTCAGTTTGCTAGAGACTCGTCAACGAATACAATACGTCGTGACAAGACGTCGCTTGAGTTCAGTATTTTATTAAAAGCAACTTGTGCTCAACAAATCAGTCATCTGTCGCCATGGAACATTATTTTCGTGAACGTTAGTTGATATTATTATATTGAAGTATATATTCTGTTTATTCTAAATATGTATGGGTGATATGACTTTTAAACTTCTTTACAGTTTCACAGACCTACGCAGTTCTCTGAGTGCTACATTTCAAACTAGAATATACACACAAGCATCCTTTGAATTCCATTCCTGCCTTCCACTCCAGTCCAGTTAATATTTCTGACAAATAGTTAATATTTAACCACCAAAGTTTTATTTACATGACAATATATTATATATTGGTGAATTTTGGTGTATATATATATATATATAAACACATACAATAAATAATAGCAGTGTATTTTCATGTTTAGAAAGTGCCGTAACATCGCCTCTACACCGTTGTTATGTAACGCGGTTTTTTGCCATTGAACTCCTGACATGACGGTGAGTCAAAATTGTCTAAGTTCTAATTGACTTCATTTATTTTTAACAAAACGGTTAAATATTTTAATTATTTATACCACTTATAATTATAATAAAAACGACTATTTTATTTTATTAGAAGGTAAAATTTTTCTAATTTTTAAATTTTAGGTTAAATTACTACTACTGACTACATATTATATATGACATGTGTGTGGCATAAAAATATTAATATTATTATTAATTGATTAGTTAATTTAATATTTAAATGGTTATGCGTTTCATTGACATAAAATATAAAAATAAAATGACATCTGAAATAAATTTAAACATGTTAAGTTATGAATTATGTAAATGCTGAATATTATGAGATCATAATTTTTGCAAATTTTTTTTTTATAAAAATTGCAATATTTTAGTTTTGGTTGCTGGTTTAAATTTATAGAATATGTCTTCTTTAAATTTATTTGATAACCTCTAATTTCTAATAAAACTAATCTTGTTTATTTTATATACTTATAGCTCATTTAGTTAGTTGATTCTTAGTTTGAATAACTTTGTAAACAAAGATATAAATGATAGAGCAAATAGCAACATAAATTCATGAAGTTATAACTATAATAATGAGTAAACTCTTTTTGAGAAAATATTGCCTATTAGTTATTGTTTTAGTTTTATGAAAATACAATTCAAGATAAATGAATAAAAGTTTAAAGTCAATTAAAATTATGACGATACCATATCTACACCATTCAGTTAGAGTTTGAATAATGAGCAGCAACTTCTGAATCACTTTAAATGCCATAAATAAATGACATGTTTGTTACATGCCGATATATTATATTTAGAATATATCTCTACTCTGATATCTAACAGGTTTATTTATTTTATGGCTAAACAATTTAATTGTTTGACCAATTTTATAAACCAATTTTATAAAACAGTGCTGAATAATTTGACACACAACTAAAATTTTGATGAAGTATAAAAAACTATTAAGAGGAAGTTAAAAGCCCAAGGTAATGAGTAGCACATTTTTTACAAGGTTTACAAAATGGTTTTTCAGTCGCAGTGTTTCATATAACAACATTAAAAACTCAATAATAGTGGCTTATTCACTAGTAAATTTGACAGCCTTTGTCAGAATGTCATCTAAAAGTACCAATGGAGGTGAGCCATTTTTACATAATAACATTCCAAATATTTTGAAGCAAAATATTTTGAATTAAATATTGTAAAAGTCACTTTTTTGTTGTGTTAATGGAATCGTAAATTAAATTTTTTTATTGTTATCATTTAATCAAATAGATAAATAAATGTACATACATCCAGTTTCAGAGAAACATGCAGTGCATGGCAGAAAGATGTTTCCACCATTCCCAGAAGGCACCAAACTTGCCATGCTTGGTGAGTGTGTTACAATAATGGTAATATTATTCTAAACAAAATTTCTTACAAAATTTGAGTAAATGAACAACAACACCCTAAATGAACACAAACAGGGTTAGGATGCTTCTGGGGTGCAGAAAGAAAATTTTGGAAAATAGATGGAGTGTATTCAACTCAGGTGATCAAAACTTTTATTTTACATTCTAAAAATTCTGACACTATTAAGTTCATGTTTCAAGGTCGGATTTACTGGTGGCCACACGAAAAATCCATCATACAAAGAAGTGTGCACAGATCGAACTGGCCACAATGAAGTTGTTCGAATTGTTTATGAACCTAACGTTGTTTCTTATGAAGATTTGCTCGTGGCATTTTGGGAGAGCCATAACCCAACGCAAGGAAACAGGCAAGGCAATGATGTAGGCACACAGTATCGATCTGGGATATATTATTATGATGTTCAGCAAAAAGAATTAGCAGAAAAGTCAAAAAAAATGTATGAACAAAAATTACTCGAAAGTAATAAATTTGGTAAAATAACAACAGAAATACTGGAAGCAGGTGAATTTTATTATGCAGAAGATTACCACCAACAGTACCTTCACAAGAATCCTGACGGATACTGTGGCTTGGGGGGCACGGGCGTTTCTTGCCCAAGAGGTTTCTAAGTGAATGTTTTTTTCAATTGCTTTGTGTCAGATTTTGAGTACTGCCACCTATTGTTAAATTTAATGACCCCATGTATGCACAACACCTTTGACTATTTTTTAAATTACATTGCATCATGTCTGAGTTCAGTTGTTTATCTTTTTACGAACATATCGTAAAACTTGTTTCCATGATGGTGTTAAACAAAAAACTATCACAAACACTTTATTAATTTATCGCAGTCAAACTTAAAAATTAAATACAATTCTTTAAAACTAAATTAGGAATTTTTAAAAAATTTGATAAGTACTCAACACGCATGCATCAATATGCGTCAAACTGAAATAGCAAACATCAACTATTTAAACAATATATTCAGTATCATTTTGATTTTTGTGCCAGTTAATAAAATAATATGAAACAAGAGGAATGATCAATTATTTAAAATAAAATACAGCTATAGTATTAACACTGTAAAATCAAGAAGCTATGCTATGTACATTGAAGCTATTTCAAATCTTCAAACTGTTTCCTTCCTTGTCATCTTCATCCAAATTTATAATTTCATCGTATATCTCTACATTTCTGACACTGCCAAAAAAGTCTGTGAGAGGCACTTGGTCGGGGTTCCTGCCAAATAAATCAGTTCTCACCGCCACCGTGCTGATGCAGACACTTTTTGGACAGACCTTCAGCTTGTAACCATGATATTAAATTGAATGATGTTCAACAGTCTTCATTATGTAAATAATTTGCATCGTTTATAGTCCTAAAATTAGTAATTATTTGGTTCAATACAATTTCAAAGTTCGTGAAAAATAAGTGAATAAATATTTTCATTTGAAACTAAAATTTTCTAAAGATCAGATCTACAGATTTCTGCACTGGAAATTAGCGTTTGACAGATTTACAAAAACTATATACACAGTTTAACTTCTACGTCTCCAGGATTCCAACCCCGCCTCAAAACATCAAATTCATTTCCTATGCAGACGACTTCACAGTCTACACCACTGGTCCAGCTCTATTGTTACTGGCTCAATTGTTACCTGCCGAAGCTCTTTGACTTCTTCAACAACAAAAACTCGGAGATTTCCATCTCCAAGTCCACAGTCACTCTTTTCACTTCACACACATCACAATATCATCACCATCCTTCAATCAAAATCAATAACAATCTCCTTCCTCTTGAGCACAACCCAAAAATATTAGGCCTCACCCTAGACACGATGCTTTCCTTCTCACAACACCATAAACAAGCAGCATTGAAGGCCTCTAAAAGAACCAATATTTTAAAGGCACTCAGTGGTACTACCTTCGGTCAGTATAAGGAAATTTTTCTACAGACCTACAAAACCATCAGTCGTTCAACAATCAAGTATGTCTGTCCTGCCTGGGCATCACTGACGTCAGATTCAAGTTTTTCCCGTCTCCAACGCTCCCAGAATGCTGCACTACGTCTGGTTACAGGTTGCCATGCCGTCGCATCAGAACGACACATGCCCTCAGAACGCCAGATGTTAACGTAATGGCAGCATTCAGAGCTAATAGCCTCACAATTCCTTCTCCTATGGCATAACCCAAGCCGCCCGTGCCATAATATCATCATACAACCTTGTCCTCATTGTGACATAAAAATCACCCTCCTCTCAAAATGGTCATCAACAATAAATCCGGTTTTACCAACAATAATCGACGATAACACTCTGAAGACGGCTTTAAAGAGCCTACATACAAACACTGCTAAAGTCACCGCTGAGTCGTACCAGTCGCCGCTATTGCTCGATGGATGACCTCCTCCAGCACCAAAAATAGATCCTTCAGAAGAATTACTTCCAAGGGCTATCAAACGGACCCTCGCCCAACTCCGATCCGACCATAGTATTCTTATAAACAGCTACAAAATCGGAATCGACAGTGGGCACACCAACACCTGTCCTTTCTGCAACAATCATACAGATGATGTCCAACATTTGTTTAGCCGTCCTCAAAACTCCACGGACCTTCAATCAATAGACCTCTAGAGCAACCCTGTTGCAGTGGCGGATTGGCTCCGACCTCGATTGGAATCCTGAGGGCCCCCGGAAGGGGCAACAACAACAACAGAATTTGATTTGTCAAAACTTCAGAGACATTCAAGTTTGAGACCTACGTTTTAAAAAAGACAAACGCTTTAAGAATATTAATAAGTGTACTTGAACAAACATAAATTGCATATGAACGCATCGTACATATATAACAAAAATAAGGAACATGTAAGAAAGACTTGATACCAGTTGGCCCATAGTGTGGTTGGAGTCACTTCTGACTTGCTCTAGGAATTCCAGCACATAATACGTGTACCTATCTATGATGAAAACTCCGATTGCCGGGTCAGTGTGGTGCTGGTTACAAAAACAAAAGTGGTGAAAATGTGCAATCGGTAGTCAAAAACATCACATAAAATTTCTCAAGATATTTCTCTGATTTATCATTAGTTAAAACTTAAATAAATCAAAAAGTTAAAAGGATCTACAAAACTATTATCAACAAACATGAAAAGTACAAAGCACATTAAGTTTAATAAATATAAAATGAAGATGATTATTCAGACAAAAATTAAACTGACTGATAGTGAATCCTCCCCAACATGACTGCTACCAGTGGCCAATATGTTTGGAGAGTAAAATCTGAGAAACATGGACTGAGCCTGGCAAGTGTCAATCATGAAGAAGACTTCATGGTACCTACAACAGTTTCAGTGCAATGCCAACCGTTTTATTCATAGGAATCATAAATTTCATCAAACACAGTGGTAAAATTATTTAGAGTTGCCAAGTACTAACAGAAGATGAGAAAGAATAGAGACAGGACTCTTCAAGTAATTTATTTATGAGTAAAATTTGAAAACAAAATGTCTCTAAAAATTCACCACTATGAAGTAAACACGTATAATACCAAAATTATAATTTTATATAAGAAATTTGAGATGTGTTGAAATTGGTGTGTGGAACCTGCTGCCAACCTTTTCTTCTGATGCATCTGTTCGAAGGCATCTGCTAGTTCAATGCTTGACATCTCCTCTGAATCTTGAAATTTCAAGAATCCATCACCTCCGTGACCTGAAAAATTGTAACATTCAATTTTTATTGCAAATTATGTTCTCTAATGTACAACTTTATTTCAAATATTTCAATTCATAGGACAATAATAATTTGAAATACCAAAACTGAGAAACAGATGTGAAAACATTTATTTCACAAAAAATATTTCAACAGAATGCAAACAATGTGGTGATAGTGATAAGAACTGGACCACAAATTGTAAATGCAATAATTTTAATTTTAAAAAAATCAACAATGAAAAAGTACCAGTCATGTACACAAGAATGTTGCTTCTCTCATCAGAGAGCAATCTTTTGGACCTGGGTGTGCTTGCTGGCAGCCTACCTGTCAGAACTCTTATGAAGTTCTCAACTGTTACCTATTTTAAACATATCATTTGTTTGTTGAATTAAAATTCTAAAAAAGTTATTTGATGATTTAAAAGTATAATATAAATTTTATGAAACACTTGTATATGTGAGTGCATTTTAAATGTGAGAAAACTAACTTCATAGCCTCTGTAATCAACTTCAACATCATCTCCATACACATTTATTTGCTGGTTGGCATTGTTGAACACAGAGGCTTAAATTATTGAATTTAAATAAACTTTCACTTACTCAAATTTTGTTGAAATTGAAAATAGTAGAAAATACCAAAGAAATGGACGTGAATATTTTTTTTAAACTAATAAGCGCCCAAAAGAACAACCTGGCCTTGGGTTTCTTGGATTGCAAGCCATATCATCAGCAATCATCAATATGATCTGACTGCAGAAATATAAATTTTAAAGCCTTTTTAAACAATAAAAACTTTTCAAAATAAATAAATATATTGATGTTCTAGTAAAGTATTCAAATAATCAGCAAAACATAACATCAGTAATAAATGAATTAACTTAAACTGGACAACAAAGTGAATAAATAAAAATTGAATAAAATCATTCATTCAACCTATCAGGAATGCCCAATCTCTTGACACTCCTGTATATAGAGAGAACATTAGCAATGTGTCTGTAATTGAACCAGAACCTCGACGTGTCAACCAGCACTGCCCAGTTGTTTGTATGTCCGCTCTTGAAAAATTCTCTAACCTTTGAATCAACCTATAGATGTAGTGTTTGTTTAATTATTTATTTTAAAATAGAATTGAGAAATACTATCTGTCACTTATTCAAAGTAAAAATATTAGGAAACAGCAACAATTAGAAATTTGTTAATTTAAAAAAAATATTAATAATTTAATTAAATAAAAACCATCGACAAATTTACAAATTTTTTCAAATTAGGACTCTGAAAATATTAATAATTATACATTTGATTTGATTTATTAATTGATTACGATTACATTGATTATTATTATAGATAAATTATATAATTCAAGCAAGTTATAATATATAATCATTATATTTTTTGATTTCAACATCAATTACATTACAATGTAATTTAATTGATGTAATGTAATGGATCATGGGCATAATCCTATGACAGTGCCTACCATTCAATTGAAAGCACGTTATTTACACGTAAATAAGTTTTATATAAAAGATTTATAGGGTTTGGTTAGGTTAGACTGGGTTTCTTTATTATTAGATTAAAATTTATATTTTTAAAAGTATCTTCACGTTTTTGAATCATGTGTACTCTTTCATTTATACTTACTCTCGCGTTGCAAGCACTGTTCTAGTATTTTGCCAGATCATCTACTAACCTACAAGCACAATACAAAATCTGCAGACACAACACACTAACAGAAGACAACACTTACAATCACAACATTCAATCTACTTTTATAATAAATGATAAAACAATTTAATTTATTTTTATTGGATTCTAATGACAATAAATTAGAATTAGATTAGAGATATTTATTATTTATTATATTAAATTTTTCATTAGGACAGGTTAAAAAACCCAGAAATTCCAAAAGTTTTGAAATAGACTTCACTAAAATATCCTAAAATCTTCCATTTCGCAACTTACATCGGATTCATGAGCTGAACAGACGCAGACCGCAAAAACCGCAAATACTGAGAAACCGCAAAAACCCAACATGTTTTCTTTATTTTTTTAGTTTTGGTTGCAGACGTACGTAAATTAACTTTTCAACTGTATGGAAAGTTTGGTGACTATTAATAAATTGCTTAACTTATCTGACGAATAAATGAACCAAGACCGCAGACCTAGCATTTCAATAATTATTATATGTTAATGATTTATTAAATGTGAATTTTTTATTTGTTCCAAGATTGTTGTGGTTGTCGTAGTTGGTTGGTTGGTGGTTGTCGTAGTTGGTTGGTTGGTGGTTGTCGTAGTTGGTTTGTTGGTGGTTGTGGTAGTTGGTTGGTTGGTGGTTGTTGTAGTTGGTTGGTTGGTGGTTGTCGTAGTTTGTTGGTTGGTGGTTGGCATGTTATTTCTGTACTGAATTCCATCATTCTATGTTCCTATGTTTATTATTAGTTAGCGATGGTTATTATTACGATGTTAGATGTGTGAGTATGGGTGTGTGTTTATGTGTTTAGTGTTTAAATAGTATGCGGTGTAGTGGTTTGTTGATTGTGTATGCTTGTAGGATGTCGTTGTGGTTTTGGATGCATCCATGTAGGGTTAGAGTGGTGATGATTTCTTCGTAGAATGAGTTAAGTTGTCTGTTGTATGGTCGAACGATTATGAATTTGTTGTTGTGGTTTTTGTTTCCGGTTTGAAGAATGTTCTCGTTGTTGTTGTTCTGGTTGTCGTTGTTGGCGTCTTGGTTGTTTGTCACCTCATTTGTAATGCTGTTATCAGATTCTGTTGTGCTATTGTTATTGTAAGTGTTGGTATTGTTGGTATTGTTGTTGTTGTGGTTATCTGATTCTACGGTGTCGTTTTCGTTATAGGTGTTGCCATTGGTTGGGTCGTTATAGTTGGTGAGAATTTCGTTGATGAAGGTGTTGTAGATGGTTTGTTTGTTATCTTCTACATCTTCTTCATTGTCGCATGTGATGTTAGACGTTTGTGTGTCGGTGTCGTCGTCGGTGATTGTGTTGGTGTTCATGTTTCCATTGTTCGGGTTGTTGTTGTTGGGTTTTGGTGAGATCTTTGTGTATTGCTCTGCGATGGCTTTGAAATGTTTTTTGAGTTTTTGGTAATTATATCCTCTTTGCTTGAGTCTGTTGATAAGTTTGAAGCTACTCTCTTTGAAGTCAATGAACAGTGATGAAGTGGATGCGTAGCGTTTGATTTGTGATGTGACGATTGATTTGAAGGTGTGTGGTGGATGGTGTGAGTTGTGGTGTAGTAGATAGAAGGTGTTGGTTTGTTTGAAGAAAGGTTTTGAATGTAAAAAGGGTGAGTGGGATATTCTTATTATATGTTAATGATTTATTAAATGTGAATTTTTTATTTGTTCCAAGATTGTTGAAGTTTGGGGTGTCCACCATTTTATTGTCTTGTATGCATGAGTGTGTATGTAATGTGTGTTTTTAAAGACCATGTGTGTGTGGTATGTAGTATGGTGTGTGTGTTTGTGCGCGTGCGTGTGTGTGTGTGTTGGAAACCTTGTTCAACATGTGTGATAAGATTAACTATGTTTTTCGATTAACGGTTGGTGAGAAACTGGAAAACCTCGCTTCATCCACTAATCTCATCTCAATCAAATAAACACGATCAAAGAAAAACAAAATCAATTCTCATTATTTTGATCATATGTTTCAATTTCTTTCAGTTGAAGCAAAAACCTTAACAACAACAAACTATTTAGCATCCTTAACTAAAGCAAATTCTAGCGTAACATATAGCGCCGCAATCCCAGGAGGTGGTTTCAATCAGGACTTAGCACGCACGGCTCAGCTGTTAGATTTGCAGTTTTTTTTTCAAATTTTGGTTACATCTACGCTACTTATTAATACTTTTAACAATATTCAATGCAGATATAGAAATAAAATGTGCAGTTAGTTTTTATGGTGTTGGTCGCGTTGAATTATTAATTTTTTTTAAAGGTTTGAAAGCAAAGTTTAAAAAAAACTGAAGCATTAATAAAATTTATAATGGACGTTGTTTCTACTTAATACGTTATCATTTTTTTGTAACAATTTTATACATCTTATGTATTAAAAAATATTGCTAACTACTCAATAATGAATTTATTAATATAAAATGTTTCATTGAATTTTACGTGCAAACCAAATTGCAACAGAACCATCATTAGTTTTTTCTATATTTAATCATTTAATTGATTTAACGAACCTACGCGTTGGAGATGTTGCAAAATCGATCGCAAACACTTGTAACAGCCTTAATAAAATTTTTGCCCCTAGCAATAATAATAATAATTACGATTTAATTAAAGAATTTTATTAATAATGGCAGTTTGAAAACTTTCTACAAATCATATTTTAAAATATTATTTACCTACTTTGACATTTTAGTGAAAAAAAAATCAGGACGTAGGCGAAAGTTAATGAATGTTGTTCTCATATTCTTAACTAATTACTTGACGTTTATTTACGAGCATTTTACGGTATTTTGAGATTTTATTACATACTCGGTGGCTCATGATTAATGGATTGTTTGGTTGGTTGGTTGCTAGGGTAGGCTGGGCCAGCCAGCTGCTTCTTATTTCATTATTATTCATATTTTTAACACATTTAAATTAAAATTTATGTCCTCACAATGATTGTATAATCTTCTTCATTTCTTGTATTATCGCCTTGTTATATTCTTCTTATGAGTTTTGTTTAGTTCTCTTTACACTTTCTGTTAAAACTTTTTATGTTTTTCATGAAAATTTTATAATTTTCTTTTCATTAGCGGAGCAGACGTGTCGTTAATATATATCGTCGAATTCTTATTTAGATCGTAACTTCGCGTGTTGCCAGATCGTGCTATTGATAACCACCCCACTTTAAAGTTATAAAAATTAACATTGATTCTAGTAACACCAGCAACACTAACGAGACAACATTAATTAGATAAATAATAATGATAACAATAATAAAAGATTATTAGTTGTAGAGTAGAAGTTGTTGTGGTAGTTTTATTAGTAGTTTTTGTTGTAGTAGTATAAGTTGTAGTAGTAGTGTTAGTAGTAGTAGTAGCAGCGGCAATAGTAGTAGTAGTAGTAGTTAGTAGTAGTAGTAGTAATAGTATCAATAGTAGTAGTAGTAGCAGCTGTATTAGTAGTAGTAATAATTATTATAATTATAACGAAGGTGGTGATAATTACGATTTCAAATAAAATGATCTACGTGTTGTGATTAATATGCGTTGAAGAAAAATTTTCAATATAAAAACATTGTAATAAAAATTTAAACCAGCAGTTACAACAATCTGTCCTACAAGTTACAACAATCGAACGACATATTATGTTCGACGCATCGATTTACATTGCGTGTGATTGGGCAACACAACAACAACAACAAACTACAACAGCATAACTAACAACTCAAGTTAATGATGTTGTTACAAGTTAGTAATGTTGTTAAATTACTAACAACACCATTTAGTAACACTGTGATTTATTAAACGTTAAACGAACACGCTGAACCCACGCGTTTATATAAATGCAGTTAAGAGTGTTTCAGTCAGTCAGCGTTTGAATTTATATTTTTAATCGGATATTGAATGAATTACTAAATTGACTTTTATTGGAATTTTGATCAAACGATGGCAAAAGAAACGCTGGTTGTCGTTCTGCTGATGATGATCTTGTTGCACGAGTCACTCTACGGAGACGAAGACGTGTTAGTTTAATTCTGGTGACTTTCATTTCAAATTGTGATGATGAGACAAATTATTATTTTTCTCGTGTTGCGGATTCTTGCAATAATTTGAAAAACATTTCACTAAAAAGCGTGGTGTTATGGCCTGCGTAATAAAATACACTTAGGTTGTTGAAAGGGTGATTAAAAGTTTTACATTATAATTTGCACGCAGCAAGTACATGATAACCATCCCTAAGTTCATCCGACCTGGTACAAAATTTCAATTTGGAGTCTTCATTCCTGGACTGAATAATATCAGCTACGCTCTCAACGCTGAAATAAAAAGCTTAGCTGGTGATGTTTTAGTGAAGAAGACAAATCTTTTGAAGGCAACATGTGAGAGCATTTGAAAACAAAATATTTGCCATCTCTATAAAATCTTTTTATTGAATAAATACTCATTTTAAAGCATTTGTTTGACAAGGTTTATTATTTTAGTTTATTTAATTTTTTATTTTTAGCTGACAACACGTTCCTACGAAGCCTCAATGTTAGTATATTTTTTCCATCTAACAAAAAAAGTTGCGATTCATTTCCTAGTTTGTTCATAACATAACAGTTGCAAATGCAAAACTCTACGCAACTGCTAAGTTAGAACGAGTAACCATCGACAACAACCTGCAGATTCCAAGCACTGTGCCAGAGAGCAGCTACACATTCTACGTGACTGCCTATGATGGCATCAACTTCTCAGACAGCCATCAGTTAAGTGTCGATAGGAATATTCACTCCATATACATCCAGACAGACAAGACCCTTTACAAACCGGGCCAAAAAGGTTGGAAATGTTTGACTGCATTTGTTAATTATATCTACGACAAAACAGCTGTCTGCCGATGCTAAATTTTTTATGCTACTCTAAAATTTTATCTGTTAAGTTAATTTACCAAACAACCTTAGCGGGCTCTGTGTTGATTTAATTCTTCCTACTTATATGGCAAGTAAGGTAAGGTAGTATAGTATAATCTCAAAACACCAGTTAAGTGGCAAAAATTTAATATTAAAAGTGAATGTCTTTACAAAACTGCATAAAAAATGTTAACATGGTCGTTGCTTAGGATGTTATTAGTACTCTTTCTAAATCAGAATCTTTATTTATCAATACGTTGTTCGATGGCTTGCTCAAATTTGTCAGATTAAATTGAAGTAATAATTTATATTTTCTATAAATTTATTTATATTTAGTAATTATTTTGTGAAATAAGTTATATATATGATATAATATATGATAATATAATTAAAACTCTTTTATTATCAATAAACTAATAGGGGAAATGAAATAAAAATAAAATTGAATTTCATTGTACAGTATAATAAAACCACAATATATATAATATTGTATATTATATATATATATATATATATATATATTGATATGAAACTCTTATTGCAATAAATGCATACTTTCGACACCAGTCAACTACAGAGTGCTGGCGATAGATCCTCAATTGAAACCGTACAAGGAATCCATCAACATAACCATCTACGTACGTTTTTTTTACTTTCTCAAATGGTTTTAGCCTTTTCAAAAGTTTTTTCCAAGTATCTTTCTCTTTACTTTAGAAATAAATTTGTTGATCATTTTGTTTTAATCAGGACACAAGTGATAACAAAATCACAAAACTGACCAACCAAAAAAGTCCAGCAGGTTTGTATCAACCATAGATACCTTAAATTAAGGATCTGTATTTTAAACTTGGTTTCATAACAAATCATTAAAAAAACTTGGGTTCATGGCTTTAAAACAACTGAAATTTAAACTTTCATGTCACCTATCGGTTTGGGGATCAAAAGAGAACAAGAAAAAATAGTTTTTTGCTTACAGTTGCAAATAAATAAATAAAAGTGCTGATAAATAAATTTATAAATAAATGTTCTGTTTAATTCTCGTTTTGTTTATCATGTTCTGTTTTATCTTCGCTTTATTCTGTCTCTGTTCTGTTCATGTCCATGGGGTGTCCACAAAAAGCCTCAGATCAAGTATCCACGTCTGCATTTTATTTTGAAATATTTTTATTGTTAGTGTCAATCCTGAAACTAATTTCGATGCAAAACAACTTCAGTTTTATTTGTTGGAAGCTGTTGAATTCGTTATTAAAAGCTGTGATTGCATTATATCTTTAGTGTGCGACAATTGTCCAATGAATCAACCTTCAGCCCTTGTCACAAAAGTATTTCTTGCATCTGATTATGTGCATATAATCAAAAATAACTGGACCACTGAGCCCAATTTTCTATAAAAAACCGTAGCTGCGTTACTTACCTTGAAAGAGAAATTGGTGGCACAGGCTAAGTATGGTGATAGTTTCATGTGCGTACATTATATTACTTAACATTAACAAAATTGCAGCAGATTATAAAAAATTTAGAAGATTTAAAAAAAAAACAATAGCCAAAGTTGGAAATTTGTTCACGAAAAGTATTTCGTTTTTAATGAAATATTTTAGTGTTCACAAATTTATAATATAATAATTACCTTAAAAAAATAATAATCTTAAAAAACACTTTTGTTGAAGATGTCAATGGTTTATGCAAAGTTTTAAGTAATAAAATGCTTTGACCTTCATGCAAAGTGAACCCAAGTTTGAAACACCGAGCACGAGCGCATCAGTTCTTATTTTAAGGTATCTATGACATTAACGTAATTAATTAGTATTCATTGTAAAGGAAGTTTCTACTTTAGTAAAATATTAAAATAAACACGTCAGGGGTCATAACAAACGCCTTGAACCTTTCCGATATCACACCTCTTGGTTCCTGGAGAATTGTTGCTGAAACAAAAGTTAGTAGAGTGGCTCTGTTAATTAAGCTATTGGAGTTAATGCTCAGTTGTTATAGTGCCAGGTTGTCTGTAGCGGTTGTTTGGTTGGCTGGTTGTTTTGTTTGTTTGGTTTGATTGGTTGCCTGGTTGCTGGTTACCTGGTTCAATCGCAAAAATATCATTGCCTATCGTAAGTTCAAGCGCATGATGCGTTATTTTGTTTATGTTGGATGGCAGTCAAATGTTGAAGTCTTTGTTAAATAAATTGTAGAAAATTATAGCCGATATATTATTGTCAACAAGATTGATCATCCTTTGTCGTTGTTTGTGTTTTCGCCTTGGGTTTTTTGAAAGTAAACTATAAGCCTCGCTCGCTTGTCTGATGTGGTGCAATTTATTTTGCTATTAAATATGGGCCGGAATTTTTTCAGAGCTGCTCATAAAAAAAAGTATATACTCATAAATTAAATAAACATTTGCAGTTTGCATCAACGGAAAAAACAATCCAAGTAGCTGAATATGGTTTGTATATCCAAATATAACGTCTGCTTTATTTTAAAATAGTTTTCAATAACTTCGGTTTCCAGTTTTGCCAAAATTTGATGTATCGGTGAACGTTCCATCGTTTTATTTCATCAATTTGAATAATCCTTCCTTACAAGAAGATCTCCATGTTTCTATCATTTCCAAGTTTGCCGATTATTTATTTTAGTTTTTAAAAATTATTTGTCAAATTTATACATCCTGTTATGATCGCCAAGGTACTCGTACGGTAAACCAGTCAAAGGCACGGCTGCCATTCAAATTAAATTGTCTTATACTTGGTGGTCTCAAAGTGAACTTAATCAGATAACTAAAATTGTCCAGGTGCTATTTCTTTTAGTTTATTTGTACTTTTTTATTTTTCCTTCATTTTTTCAAGTTCTGAACAATTGTTGTTTCTTAAGTTAACTGACGGAAAAGGAGATCTGGATATAGCGTACAAAGAGTTGACTAAACTTCTACCTACACAAACATATCCGTGGATGAATCTAAACTATCAAACATTAAACATTGAAGCAAATGTCACAGAAACTACTACTGGAATCGTATTTTCAGGAAAAAGTGAAATTCAATGCAAATCTGATAGAATGATTTTGCAGTTTTTATCTAACTCACCAAACATTTTCATTCCTGGATTGCCATATACTGGATTTGTGTGTATTATATTCGTTACTCAATTTTCAATAACTTGAAAAATAAATTTTCATTTAAATGTTTTCAGTTGAAGTTGAGTAAAAGTGATTCAAGCAGTCCTGCTGCATCTGACGTTAGATATGCCAATGGAACTTATAAAAAACTGACATTAACTGCTACAATAACATATACATCTTACAACTCTAACGAAAACAAAATGCTGCTGATCAGTTTGGACGCCAATGGTTTTGCTAAATTTGAATTTCAAACTGATATTACTATGGAAGGTATTTCTTTTCAGGTTAATTTAAACATGTTTTATTGATTACGATAGAATATGACGTGTTACTTGATAAATTTGCCACTTCAGGTAACTTACATGGATGACGTTGGCAACCAAAACATTTACAGTTATCAGTATGTTAATAAGTTCAATTCGAGAGATAATGCCGGCATTCTACTGGTTTACTCCAATAAGGACAATGTGGTGAAAGTGTGTATCAAAATTGCTGAATATCACTTTTGCTCCTAAGTACAAAATTCAGTTTAATAAATTTTTGTTTACATTATTTAAACAGCCGGGATCGTGTGCGAAGTTTACTGTCTTGTCCGTTACTAAAATTAGCCATGTTCTATTTCAAGTCTGTTGTGTCTAACAAATAAACTGTGGAATTTTCAATAATATAATGAATAAATTTGAAAGGTGATGGCTAAAGGGCAACTCATCAGAAGCGAAACAAAAAAGTTTAAAAAACCGTTGAACACGCAGACCTTCTCAATCGATATAACTAAAGATTTAGCGGTTCAGTTGGCTCCAGAAGCCAGATTCTCTATATCGATCGTGACAGAGAACGGAGAACTTATCTACGATTCATTAGCCGTCAATGTCGTCGACTATTTCATAAACAAAGTAATCACATTTTTGTGTGTTAAGAAATGATAATTTATAGTGTTCAATCAGCCCTAAGTTAATTGTTTTCCATTTCACAAACTTTTTTCGCTAACACGCGCATTAAACTAAAAAATTTGGTTTTTTTCATAAACATACGCACACAGTTAGAGGTAGAGAGAAAGAGAGAGGCAGACAGAGGGAAACAGAAAAAAACAGTCTGCAGTGCAAAAAAATCGCTTTTAAAAATTACAATCGCACATTCATATACAACCTAATACAATATTTATTTAATCCACAAAAATAAAGGGTTACAGGTTAACTGTGAGGAGGCTCCGAGTAGACTCATCGGCCAATTCAATAAAAATTTTTCGTAAATATAGTAAAATAGTTATTATTATTTTATATAAGTTATCTTGACCACATAAATTGTAATGACTAATTGTTAGACGTTAATATAATATAACGTAACGTGACGAGGAAAATTGGCGCAGGCAAGTGTCTCAATGCCCAGCCCATATCTCTTTTGTCTATCGGAGATCTATCAAAAACTCAATGCCCAGCCCATGTCTCTTTTGTCTATTGGAGATCTATCAAAAACTCCTTAGAGTTTTTGATAGATCTCCGATAAAATTATCATATTACACCAAGATTTTTCATACAGTTCTTATAACCAAGATCTATCAAAAACTCCTTAGAGTTTTTGATAGATCAATACATAAGCTGATTATTTTAAAATTCATGCAATGTTTTTTTTAACGTGCTGAGAGACTGAGAGCTATCCACATAATTCGAGAAGATGTTCTATATATCTGCCACTCTCTTTCTGTGAAACAAGACTGACCGTCAAGCTTTTAGTTTTTGCTTCTAGTTTCACTAAACTGGCTTAGTTCTGGACCAGATAAAATCTCCGCATCATACATGCCGTGCAATATTTTATAATTAAGTTTTTTCTATATGGAAACCAGACCGGCGCAGCATATTCCACATGACTACGTACAAAACTCTTGTATAACAGCACAAAGGTGTCTCTGTCTGTTTGTTGGTATTTCCTTTTTAAGATACCCAACATCCTAGAAGTTTCAATTATTTTTAACATGATGTGCTTTGCAAAATTTAACTTTCCTAAAATTATCATATTACACCAAGATTTTTCATACAGTTCTTATAACCAAGAAATTCATCTCTGATTTTATAATCTTAACTCACAGTAGGCTGCTTATATGAAGTTAATATTCTGCATTCAGCTTTAATTCCCATTTGTCGGTCCATTTCTTGAATGCGTTTAATGAGCTTTGTAGTTTACTCACACCTTCCAAATCATATACAATACTTGTCTGCTAATCTTAGCATCATCTGCAAACAGGAGTATCTAGTTCTGTTGTTATATCATTAATGAAATTTATAAACAATATAGGGCCCAAAACGCTACTCTGGGAAATCCCACTCAGGACCCTTTTCATTTATTCTATTTTGACTCTGAATTTCCTGTTTGACAAAAAATCTTTTATCCAGCTGATTCACTGTTAATTTTTCATAAATTATCTTGACTACATAAATAGTAATGAGTAATCGTTAGATGTTAGTATAACATGATGTAACAGACATATCGTTTATTCTCTGTCAATAATCGTACGTATATATAAGAGCAAAAAAGCAAACACATTCATTTCACCACAGGTAAACGTACAGCATATTCATACATTTTCACACACATCCATGCTCATACACATCCATACTCACACACATCCACATTCACTCACATCCATACTCACGCCCATCTTTAAAAACTCATATACATCAATAAACATTCCCACACATACGTACATACACACATATCCCCTAATATGTTTCAATTTTTACTTTTTGAGTGCTTAAAATAATACAAAATTCGATAACTTTAATATAATGCTTGTATCTGAGTCGATTCAATGGAAAAAATTAAAACTTCCACAACAGGTTTCACTCACTTTCAGCAAAAACTCAACCGAACCCGGCGATGAAAATATTTCATTGAACATTCAAACGTCAAACGATTCGTTTGTGAGCCTGCTTGCTGTTGACCAGTCCGTCTTGATGATGGGAGCCAGTAACGACATAAACAAAAATCTTGTTAGACTTACCACTAATATTTAAAAGAAACAAAATGAAAGATTTTTGTGATTTTCATGTCTTACTAGGTGAGTGCAGATTTGAAGAAATATATAAAAGACGACAACTACTGTTACAACTGCCTTCCAAACATTCCGAGGTATTTAGGATACTCTGACACAAACTCAGTTATCGACGTGAGAATTTTTTGAATTGTTTAATAATTTTACAAATTGTTTAAAAAATATTACTTACTATGCTCATTGATTGGTTCCATGACCACGAAACTTATATTTTCATTCCATTGAATTGAATGTTATCAGAGCACAGGGTTGTTTGTCATGACGAACTTCTACCGCTGGGAGCCACCACCTCCGCCTACTTGGATTCCATGTAAGTTTTTTGCTTTTGAAATTCATTTAAAATTTTTGTTCAAACCGATCTTTCCTGAAACTCGTAAACCCTGTAAACGTGATAATCCGGTACTGATACATAATCTTTAATGATAAAACCAAAATGTGAACAATTATTATACAATTTAGTTTAGCTGAATCATATAAAACGAGCCATATAAGAGGAGATTTGTATTACACTTGAAACCGCAACAATATTAATTTAAAAAAAAGCATGTTTGAAACCGAAAAAAATTGATGAAATTAATCGTAAAAACTTAACATGATATTTCCAATGAACAAATGTATGCAAAGTATTTTTTCAAACTAACTATTTTTATTTTCATATATAGAACAAGATACTTCAGAATAATTTTTAACAACGCCCATAGGGTTTCCATTCCCAATGCCTGATTATGAAGAAGGGATGGTAATGCCGATGATGGAAGAACAAGTCCCAGTCACTGAAGCAATGATGATGCCAACAATGTTGGCTGAAGCAATTCCCCAACCGACTGAGAGTGCGAAAAGTGAGGTAGCAGCCCCCGCGGCACCCCCGCCAGTTGTTGTCAGGCAGGAATTTCCGGAAACTTGGATTTGGACTGATGTTCAATCAAAGTTAGTCGGAAAACAATCAATTTGCTGGATCTAAACACAATTTTAAAACTATTAATAAAAGAATTATTATCCAAATCGTGTTATGTTCTGAAAAATTTTGTATCGCTTAAAAGATGTTAATATTCTATATATTATATATATATATAATTATTAGGGATGCACCGGATTCAGGTTTTTCAAATCCGGCCGGGGCCGGACTTGGCCGGATTTAAAATTCAAAAACCGGCCCGGGCCGGACTTGGCCGGATTTAAAATTCAAAAACCGGCCGGGGCCAGGGCCGGATTTTAGTTACCATTTTACATACGTTAGAAAAAATACTCACATTTACGGTTATCTACATGTTGAACATCAAAAAATAACACCAAGCAAATAATTATTTAATTCAAATATATGAATAAGCTGTGTACACAAAGATCAGCTTAATTTATGCATAACCCATGTTATAGCGTAAAGAAAATTGTCCAGCTCATCTCACAATTAGTGATATTAATATTATGTGTCATGTATGCACGTGCACAAGTTATTTTACACAAAGATCAGCTTATAATGTATGCATAATCCATGTTATAGCACAAAGAAAATTTTCCAGCTCATCTCACAATTAGTGATGTTGTTATTATGTGTCATGTATGCCTAGTCTAACCTTTAAAATACCATGTTCTTAAATAATGCGATTATGTATATATATATATATATATATATATATATATATATATATATATATATATATATATATATATATATATATTATGTAGCTTTATGATCCGTCATATACAACTATATAGTATAAACACGTGCACAAGTTCTTTTACACTTTTACACAAAGATCAGCTTATAATTTATGCATAACCCATGTCATATCACAAAGAAAATTGTCCAGCTCATTTCACAATTTGTGATGTTGTTATTATGTGTCATGTATGCTTAGCTTTTAACTTATTGACATAAAATTAATTGAATTCAATGAAATTTTTTTTCTTTTTATAACATTTTAAAATGTCGATAGACAAAAAGCCGGATATTGATATATATATATATATATATATATATATATATCAATATCTATATATATATATAAATATATATATATATATATATACATAAACAAACATATACATAAATATATATATATAGATATATATACATAAACAATACATAAATATTTAAACTTTTTAGAAAGAAAAAAAATTGTATAGAATATAAACAAACTTTTAAGCAATACAGAATTTTTCCGACCAAAATTCATATAAAAATTGCATTAAAATAAAATAATCTCTTGGAAAATTTAACTATGGAGATACAACGGTGGTTGGTTTGTTGTACAAGGGCGCCATAATATAGAAATCACAAACATGGGACACAAATGAGAAATTCGCCCTGGGCACACTTTTTTATTTTTAATCCCTCGCTGACTGTAAATGATCTATTTTGAAATTGTATCTAACAAATGTGCACCCACAATTCAGAAATTATGAAATTAAGATGAAATGATGCACAGTCCAGCGGTTCTAGCCGTCCAATCTCAAAATAAGGATGCAAAATCTGTTTTGTCTCCTTCGTTCCTTTCCGCAAACTAAGTCTTTCTATGGCTTAAAAGGCCTCAACCAAATTTTTTTTGTTCAAGGGAACAAGTTACTCACCGTCAGATTTCATTGTATATAAAGATATAAATAAATGAATATATACATTCATACACTAACAGTAAGAATGGAAGTTATACATTGAACGTCAAAGTGCCTGACACTATCACATCTTGGGTGGCCACTGGATTCTCAGTGAATAAAATTGCTGGTCTTGGATTATCCGAAACACCTGCAAAAGTTATTTTTCTGATTTCATCAATTATTTAAGTCTAAATAGGAAAATAGGACTCTTTATTGTAAAATGTGGATTTAAAAATTATTCTCAAAACAAACAGCATGATTTAATAATAAGACGCTTTTTGCTTTTGGATATATTAGTAGTAAATTTGTATATAACTAGGAATACCACAAATGAATTAATTATTATTATCGATAATGCACCGATTTTACTCTCTTTCAACAGATAACAGTTCTGAAACCGTTTTTCATTTCGCTGGAACTTCCGTATTCAATTGTGAGAGGTGAAGAATTCGCACTGCAGGCAGCAGTGTCAAATTACATGGGAATGGATTTAGAGGTATAACTGAAAGAAAATAAAAATTCATAATGAACAATTTGTACGTATTAAAAACAAATTTTAGGTTAAAGTTAAACTATTGGAATCCACTTATTTCAAAGTGATTGAATGTGGAAATAAAACTCTGGTCAATAAAAATATCACAAAAACAATTAAAGTGGGTTCAACTTGATTTCAAATTTAAAAGCACTCACAATTAGTTGACTTTTTCAGCTTTTATTACTTAAGAAATATGATTGATTGTTTTCCGATGAATGTTCAAGGTTGTGAACAACGATGTATCTTCAGCGTATTTCTGGCTGGTGGCTACATCTCTCGGACAGATCCCCATCGAAATTCTTGCCTGGTCCGGAATGTCTGCCGATGCTGTCAAATCTCAGCTGCTTGTCAAAGTATTCTAAAATTTGTGTGATAAACTATTGCTAATTAAAATTAATTTAATTTTTAAATATTTTCATCAGCCTGAGGGCCAGACCCAATCGTACAGTACATCCACTTTCATTCAGTTGTCTGCTGGGAAGGACTTTAACACTTCTTTTAACATAACGCTTCCACCAAAGAGTATTTTGGTGGAAGGTTCTGTTCACATTGAAGTTACTGCAATAGGTCAAAAATTTTAAATTTGATTAAACTTCGAACTAATTTAAAAGTTAACAATTTGGAAACCAGGTGACATCATTGGATCAACAATGAACAACATCGACAACCTCCTACAAATGCCTTACGGCTGCGGTGAACAAACACTTCTCAACTTGGTGCCCGATGTCTTTCTTTTGAAATATCTCACTGAGTCTGGTAAATTAACTGCTGAATTTGAAGGAAAAGCTATAGGGTTCATAACATCGGGTGCGTTATATAAATCTGTCTTACAAAATTTATAGAGTTATGATAATAATTTACATTTTGTTCTGTAATAGATATAAACAATTTATATATTTTTTTAAGAGTGTAAATAAAAAAAGTATAGCTTAATTGTTAATTTGCGTAACGCAACCGACAGGCTATCAACGTGAACTGACCTACCAACGACTCGATGGATCGTTCAGTGCATTTGGCAACAGTGACAGGGCTGGCAGTGTTTGGTAGTGTTATTTAATAACTCATTGTCACTTTATAGCATCTAGTGAACATCCAAATGTTACCGCACAATTGTACCTACATAAATAAATCTTTACGTAGATTTCTCAGTTGATGTTATTTCATGATATCTCTGTTTAGGCTTAGTTCCTTCGTCATTAAATGCTTCCACCAAGCAAAGAAATACATCCCCATTGAAGACAGCAAAATAGCAAACACGATGAATTGGATTGTCGAACTGCAACAAGATGACGGAACCTTCAAAGAACCACCAGAGGGAAGAGTTATCCACACAGACATGCAGGTCTCATTGTAATTAGTATTTTATTGGTTAAACTTATGATAAATTTTATTGTTATGATATATCGCTTTGTTGATAACCATATTTACTAATCTAATATCAAAAGTTTTTTATAATCAGGGTGGTTCTTCGTCCGGTGTTGCGATGACAGCCTTCGTGCTAATTGCTCTTTTGGAAAACAAAGAAAATACTTTAGTAAATATTTTAAAAAATTAAATTAAATCTTTGAATTTGGTTTTAAAATTTGTTTATTCCACGAACACAAAGGTGGATTCTGAAAAACTTGCACTCACTATTAAAAAATCGACGTCCTTCCTGGAGTCTCAGTACTCATTGTACTCTAGCGATCCCTATGCTCTGTCTATTATCGCGTACGCTTTTTTCAAAGCTGGAAGCCCCAAATTAAGCGATGTCTTATCACTACTTGATGCTTTAGCTATTGTTGAAGGTTAGCTAAAATATTGTAACTAATAAATATTACACTAGTGAACAACGTTTCATTTTAGGCGAATTGAAATATTGGAAAAAAGATGAGGATGTTCAGAAAGATGTTTCTGAAAATGTTTGGTTCCGTCCTCCGTACTTGCAAGCGAAATCAAGCAGCATTGAGTTGGCTTCTTATGTTTTGCTCGTTTACACCCAACAAAAAAATCTTTCAAAATCAATGCCCGTTGCTAAATGGCTCCTGCGTCAACGAAATTCTCTAGGCGGATTTTCATCCACTCAGGTAAATATTTTAAAACACCTGTATATGTTTCCGTTGTGAATATTGTAATTTTACAACTTTTAATAGGATACTGTGCTTGGCTTAGAAGCTTTAGCCTCTTTTGCAACGTTGATCGCACCTTCAACAAGTTCAAATGGAATAACAATCAGTTGCAAAGGTAATACAAGTCCAAATGCTTATCTCTTTGACAAAATCACTAAGGAAACCGCTCTATTTTTACAATCATATCAGGTATTTTATGTCAAAATTCTTTTTTTTCTTTTTAACAAAAGTTTCTTATTTTTGATTTTGAACAAAGCTACCAGAGGGCACGACTGCGGTTGATATCTCAGCAACAGGGGAAGGTGTTGCTCTCGTACAGGTAGATAAATTTGTGAGTTTTATTAAACCCTATTTAATGATTTTCAATTGTTACAAACAGTTGAATGTTGAATACAACGTCATCAAAGAAAATACGAACAAGTTCTTGAATTTAGAGTTGTCTACAAACAGAGATGATAAAAATCTTCATCTGGAAATTTCTGCCAAGTGAATTTATTTTATAACTATTTGAAAAACGAACGTTTATTAGTGTTTACGCTGTCAATGAGTAAAAATTAGCACACTAAGAATTGAATGTTTTAAGTTAAATCTAACAAATTAACAGTTGGACTGGAGCAGAAGCAACTGGAATGGTTTTAATTGAAATTAACATTCTCACTGGATACACGTTTAACAACGAGCTAGATCTCAGAAAACAAATAGGCGAAAATTTGAAAAAAATTGAGAAAAGTGTCAATAAAGTTGTACTTTATTTAGATCAGGTTGGTGATTATAAAGACAATAATTTCCAAATATATTTCATTGGAATTAATTTTCAATTTGTACAGCTCACCTCTGATAATTTGATGTTCAACATTCTTTTGGAAGAGTCTCTAGCGGTGGCTAACGTCAAACCGGCTTTGGTCAAAATTTATCGCTATTACGAAACCGGTAACTTCTCTCTTCTTTAATCAAATCGTGACGTAAATTTTTAAATATTAAAATTATTATGAAAAATTATCGATTAACGGCATATTTAAAAAAAATCTTGAAATGAATAATTTGGTAATTCTAGGCTCAGCTGTCACTGGATTTTATTCACCTTCAAGCGGCAAAACATGGGAAGGCGCCTGTCCAAACTGCTGTCGTAAGTGAATTCCACTTAATTTTCTAACAATTCTGCTTGTAACATTTATATATTGTGATTGTTCATTTTTTGTTCTGGTGGAAAAAATTTGCATGGAACTAAATTTCATCGTCAAGTTTTTAATCAGATACGCATTTTCGATGAAAAAATTATTAGCTATCTATTTTTTTCAGCGTGAAAATGAAAACCCGTGTACTGCATACACAAGACATTAATTTATTATCAATTTGGTGTTTTAATATTTAATTTGAATGACTCCAATAAGAAACATTTATTTGGTTGTTGTAATTTTATTTATAATTATTTGAAATTCTATTACGTTGACTAATTAATAAATTATGAATCTCCCTTGTATACCAACTCTCTTAGATTCGTGCTAATTTAACCCCATTCAAAGTTATCTTTAAAAGCTAAAAAACAATTTTTCAAATGATTAAAAAAATGCATAATCCTCGTTTACATGAGTGAATCCAAAAACAAATCAAAGATAGGTGTATTGCTCCTTTATGGGGTTGTATATTTGAGCTGGCTTTCCTGCGGGACATGACTAGTACTGGTGGGGCGATCGATTTTGAGTGACTCTCACAAAATGATGACATCTCATTCATGTTCTTAGTATTTACCTAATTAATAATTCTACAGCTCGCATATTTTCACTTTATTATCTGTTTTTTAAACCTATTTTGTGGCTATAATTAAGATCGTCCTATTGCATGTGCTTTCGTTATTTGCTTTTTTAAATTTTGTCTTCTCATTCCTTTGCTTTTACAATTCTGTTTGAGTCTGTGGGTTTTAAATAAAACGCTTGTGTTCAGTTCATTTGGACGGCGCTTTGAGGGACATGTAGCATTTTATTGCTCTATGCAAAAAGCAACCTTTTTTGAAAATGTTACTTTAAATGTTGAAAATAAAAATTCTAATCTAATCTAAGGCGACCATCTTTTTTTAAATAATTTTTATCAGACCATGAGCTGATTGAGTATGTGTTTGTACTAGATTCGTAGCAAACTTTTTCAACTTTTTGCAATTTTTAAGTATTTGGAAAATTTAATTCAGCTCTCAGTTAAGCCGGCTAACTTCAGTTTTGTTCGTTAGCAGATTATTCGTTTTGACATTTTTATAAATTTTCTAACTTGTGTCTTTCAATTTGCAATCTTGATATTATATGTACCTACTGAGTGTTATTAAATGTTATTTAGAGTTATTGGACTTTTTTTGAATTTTTGGAAAAAACTAGTTACTATTGTGAAATAGCTTGCTTCGCTGCTGATCAGCCTTTTATTATATTTTGTTACGAACGTAATAACATGTTGTTGAACGTTGATTAAATGAAACATTGTCTACGTATAAAAATATATCATAAAAAATTACAAAATGAAAACAAATTCCATATCACATAACTGAATGTGTGTCACATTTTTTAGAAGATAATTCATAATATCAAAGAATAACTGTTACATCTGCTGAGTACGTGAATAAAAATAGTATAAAATACAAACACACACACACATATGTATATATATATACATATATATATATATATATACATATATATATATATACATATATATATACATATATATTGGATTAAGACTGTCAGAAATGCAATTATTGATGAAAATTTGGAATAAGATAACTTCCAAATTAATTTTCGATTTTTATAACGGTTGATCGTGAATCATTTTCAAGTTTCTTTAGTTCAAAACCAAAATTTTTGTTTATTTTATGCATGATAGAACAGAAAAGCTTTTTTTGGTATTCCTTTACCATCTTCGGTGTGCCTATTTATTGGTTCCTTGTTTATTCAAAGTAAATATTTAGTTTTACAATCTTTCAACGTCGTAAAATACACTTTTATGTGTTTTCATTATCGATAAATATAACACTTTAGGTGTTTTCATTATCGATGATTCCTCTGTTTCTAAATAAATTTGTAGGAAGTATTCCAATTGCCGGTTGTTGAATATTTATTATTCTATGTCTTTGTTCTATGAGTATTAATTCGGCTAGTCGTAAATTGTAATGGTTGTTATTGTATTGTAAGATTTCAACATTGTGGTCCAGGATTTGTCTAGTAATTTTAGTTTTGTGTTTCTCTTTCATGTGATTGTTTATAGCGCCAGTTTGTACGTGCATCGTGAGTCTTCTCGATAACATGGTCGTCGTCATACCATTATATTCGGAATTATGGTGCCAACACTCATCAATATTACATTTGAACAAATATATTAGATGGCTATGATCCATTATCGATTCTGGTTTACTAGTGCAGTTGGAACCGTCAGAAAAATCGAAAAGTTAAATTGGAAGTTAACAAACGAAAAACATGCTGTGGTTTTCATCAATAATTGCATTTCTGACAGTCTTAATCCAATATTATATATATATATATATATATATATATATATATATATATATATATATTAGATTAAGACCAATATATATATATATATATATATATATATACACACACAATATAATTATGAGCCTAAATATTGCATATAGGAACAAAAATAGTCTAACCTGCATTGCTAATTATCAGTAAATATACTACTATTAATACCAGAGGAGTAGACAAAGTTAGTTGAAAATCCGGTGATATTTCTTAACAATATATACAATGTCAAAATATATATTATGCAATTAACAAAGAACATTTATGAATCAGCAGTATGAATTGCAAGATGTTGCTGTTATGGTTCCATAATGCCATAACGTTAAAAAACGATATTTGTAAATGGTAATATAAAAAAAATTAATTTTACATTTTAAAATGATCAGAGTTAATGAAATTTTTGTTTGATGAATCTTAATAATTTTTCATCGTGATCTCACAGGCACACACATATTACACTTGAATTTTATTAAAATTTAATAAATATAGAAAAGATATGTTAATAAAAATATGTTGAAAAACCGGAGGAGAAAAGATGTTCAAGTTAACACAGACAAAATGGTAAAAATCATAAAATTAAATTTTAAAAATTAATTAAAATTTCAAATAATAAAATATCAATAAAAGTAAAAATAGAAAAAAGCTACACTACGTCAAGAATGTCTTTTATTTTTGAAAATTTAACGCATTGAACGCACAAAATTTTACCATCGCAGTATAAGATATAGAAACTATGCTATCTTCGTTAATAAGAAGACCTTAAAAATTATGTTTAACAGAATTTGAAGAACTTGTGTTGACGAAAATGTAAATGTTACACTCATGAATTTTGCCTTATAATTGTTGATTGTGATGACTCAGCTTAAGCAACGCAGAAGTTGTGCCATTTTGATTTTGAACTTTTCACATAATGAAATCGGCCAATTATAACAACAGATTGATACCAGAAAAATTATGACAACAAAAATACATATAAATATAAAACCTAAACCTTTATTACGGTCGGAACTTTCTGAAAATTTTGTAAATTTTAATGAATTATAAAATAAATGTAAGCTCAACGAAAAGCATTTATAACAACTGTTTTACTTGGTTTGTCTGTGGTAGCACCAGGGTCATCCGACGGATCATCAGGTCCTCTGAATTCACAATTAAAATACATATTAATCAACATATTAAATAGAAACGTTTGATAATTAATTCTGTAGAAAATAATTTAAAACTGAAAAATTTATATAACAAAAATTATAAAACTTTGTTTTGGAAAAGTTGTCGTCGTAAACTGTTGAACAGCGTTCACTTCCAATTGACTGTTCATTCATTTCGACTCCCAGGTAAGCCTTGTATGATTGGCAAGTGTCCAGTTTAAAACTGAGCTGGCAGATGACGGGAGCTGGTAAACTGTTCCAGAACTTCTTCTCGTGAATTATTTCGGAAGGACAACAATTGTCGTAGTATGATGAATTGTAACAACTCATGTTCATCTTTGCTACTTTGCCATCATGCTTGATAATTTCGACGTAAGGCCTAATCCAGTTTGGAGAAGAATAGTTCAGATGAAGTGTGATATGTCCTGTATTTTCATCCGAATCGTGAGATGAGTTGTCTGATTCAAAATTTTTATGAATTAAAAAAAAATAAACATGGTGTTTTCATAGCATTGCTTTTACTTATCTACATTTTCAACGTTGAAACTTTTTTTAATAATTAATGTTAAAGATCTATGTCAACAAATGAAAAATTAACATTTTGTGTTAGAATCAATTTTATTTAATACTTTTTAATAGATACAAATCTATCCACCTACCGTGCTTACGACTGGAATAATTTTGTAGAATTATTTATTTAATTATTCACTTAAGTGTACAAATTGTTTAGACTTTTTAAAACTTATGGAACGTTCGTTAACATTTGCACATATCATTTTTGGTTTTGCCAGAATTTTATTTATTATTAAGAAAACACATTTTCCACAATCAAAACATAGGTTTTAAGATTTGAAGTACTGTTTGGCATTAGAAAAACTGAAAACACTTTTCCTTTTTTCACGTGTGTCATTGCATCAACTTATATTAAGAGACAGATTCAGAATTTTACGGTGAGAAGAATTTTCAAATTCTTAAGCTAATGACCATTTTTTCGAAAATCAGTAATTTCGTTTATTTCAGTTTTGGTAGGAATGATTTGAAAATTTTAGGTTAATGACCTTTTTTGGTTAATTTTCCGTTTACTTTTTATTTCATTTTACACAGAAACTTCCACATTTTCCTTCTTTATGGTCTGGTGGAAAGATGCATCTTGCATCTTCCCGGGATCCACCACTCCCTATATTATTTTTTACAGTTTATATTTTTTACAGTAAAAATAAAATAAAAAAAATCTAACATATATGTAGCACAATTTTTAAATCTTCATCTGTTCTTTGTCGGTACGTACCCGAATGGAGATAATCTGATCTGTTGATTATTAAGTTTTGAAAAGTATCGCCAGCATCATCCAAAAAGTACCTAAGTGAAAATTTTCAATTATAGATGAAACACTACAAGATTAATTTGTTTCCTAATTAAATTTAACAAATTCAAATTACCTACCTCGTTTTCATTTTTGGAGAAAGTTCTTTGTCCTGCACCAAATTATTGTCAAAAAATGTTTGATTCCACGACGCAAAATATATATCACCGACCAAATTTGAAAAGAGAAATACTGAATCGTTGTGTTTGGAGATCACGTTGAATGTCATTCCAGGCAAAACAACTATAATATTTAAAATTATTGATTTAATATTATTATTAAACAACAATGGCGAATCTAAAACTTTTTATTAGAAAGAAAATAAAATAACCACTTCTTTTAATAGTTTTTGGCCTGCGGAATATTTCAAAAATTTTATATCTACATTACAAGCGCTAGCTTTGTAAAAAAAATAAAATCATCCTCATTCATTTCAATGCAAAAATCTATGAAGGCACTCAGCCTTCGTTGTGAGCATTATTTTTATTAAAAATGGGTAAATTTAGTTTTTAAACAGGAAAACGCTGATAATCGAAAGAAATAGTCACCAGGCTTATTTTGACCAAACTAGCAAAAAATTGGTTAATTTGTTAGAACCCCAGTCAAATTTCAAAATAATTAAACATCTTAGCAATTTTGACCCCTACCGCCCCGTCAAAGTTGTCTAGATCAGCTGCTGAAGTCACTTGCATTCATATGTTACATTTTATAGCCGGTTGGAGAATGATTTTCCAAGCTTCCATTTTTTTTAAAGATTTTAACGGCATTGCAGCTCCCAAGATGGTGCTAAAATGTGCCAGTAATTTTTTTTTTCTCAATTTTTATTTTATTTATTTTTTTTCATAATTATTTAGTTATTATTATTACATCTTCAAAATCAATCACAGTCGAAAAGGAAGAATCCGATCAAACTATACCAAGACATCAATCCAGAAAAAAAATGATAATCTTTGACTTAAGTATATTTTAAGAGGTAAGGTTGTAATAGTTTATTCCAGTCTTTTTAAGTTGACGGGTAACAGATTCAATAACCACACCATAGACCAGAAGCATCAGAAGTTGACGTCAAAGCTTCCATTTCTTCAGTAAACTTTATATTATGTTAGTAAACTGATTTCATGGCCAAGTAATGTGTGTGTGTCACAATTTGTTTTAAAAATGAAATTAGTTGTAACGAGAGGTGTTGCTAAAATCTAATCACAGTTTCCTCTGTTACTATGAGTATTTTTTGAATAAGCAAGCTTTAGGGCTTTTAAAAATCAAATTTATTATAAATAAACCAAAATTTTTTTTAGTCTTTATTATTACAGCTCTGACATCATTTACAATGTTGCATATATATTAACTATATATCTTTATTATGTTCTTCATATTTTCATTCATTGATTTGAAGCAGCCATCTTCGCCGCAAAGGCTGTTTAAGTTTATCCCTTTCACACGACGTAAACATGTATTTATGTGCATGCGCAAGCACCGCATCATATACGCTGAGTATATTATCGCCATTGAGATGTTTGACTTCGCGCGCATTTGAACCACTGAGCCATCTCGCCGGCCAACATGCAAAAACTTACGTCGTCTCCCCATTTACCGACCTCGGAAGGATGCACGGCTGGGTTGGTCGGAGGTCGGCCACCCGGATGAACCTAAAGAAACTGCAGAATTCGAACCCGGGTGGTGGGAGTAGTAGGCGGATGCGCTAACAACTCGGCCACGAGACTTATAAATAGCAAAAAATGGCAAAAATGAAAACGAACGAATAAATTTGCTTAATAAGAACAATAATAAAAAATTGTAAATAAAAGTTTAATTATTTTTGTTTGTTTCTAGTATAACTTACTTAATAAAACACAAAACAACATATAATTAATATTAAATATCATTATAAACTTAAAAAAAATTTTTCATAAAAAACATTTAATTTATAATTTATTATACTTTTTATTTTTCCAAAATAGCTTAAAAATGAAACTGTTACAAAATGTGACCGCAAATATCACAAAATTTCCCGGTCCTACAACAAATGCAATACAGGTGCGGGTGTTGCCAAAAACAACAAAAAAATTAAAATTACTAAGGTCTTAAACGTGAAAATATATAATCAATTAAGTAGACATGTTCGCCGATTGAAATGTTGTACCAAATATTTGAAATAGCCTGAAGATTGATCAATTACAAAATGTTGTCAACTGTATGTAATAATCTATTTTTAAAAAATTTCTAGTAACCGCTTTTGAACCATTTTTAACGAAAGTAGTTATTAACCACTTCCATTCACGGCCTAGCAGTTAACATAATTTGATTACATTTCAAACTTATCCATAAAAACAAAAACTTTGGCTCTTGTTAACTAATTTTGTCCTTTTAGTGGCAAATACCTACATACCTGACAAGTGGTAAAAGAGTTTCTAAAAAACAATTTGTATTTTAAAAATAATTTATTTTAAAAACATATACAAATCTTCATCAAAGCAAATCAAAAGAGATTATATGCAAAAACAGCTATTAATATAACTTTCCAACTTTGACAATCTCTGACACACCCTACAAAGACGATACCAAAAAAACAACAATAAATAGAATTGAGATTGGCCATACAAAGGACATACGCATGGATTATAGAGAAAAGACACATCCAAAACGTGACAGATTAAGTGATGTAACATAATCTATCGGATACCGTTTCAAAAGCAATAAAAGCGGTAGAACAGTGGATGTCAGCAAATAAACTAAACCTTAACAACAATAAAACTAAATTTATGTGGCTTGGAAGTAAGCACAATTTGCTGAATGTGAATGATTTTAAAGATCCAGTTGTTGATCTTGGCGTCGTTCTCGACCCAGGTCTTTCCATGGAGAATCCTGTGAAGTGTTTCTCCAGCGACCCCATCACCACCTTCATAGGATAAGAACAATTAGACGCTATTTTACAAAAGAGTCAGCAAAAACTATGGTGTGCAGTCTGGTCTGTGCAAGAATTGACTACTGTAATTCTGTTTTGTATGGTGTCAGCAAATATCAATTGGCAACCCTGCAATCAGTTCTGAGGTCAGCAGCTAGGGTGATTGCTCGAGTTTTTAAATTTGACAACATTCCTGATTACATGAAAAACAAACTTCGTTGGCTGACGGTCGAGGACATAATTTGATTTAAAATAGCTCTTATGGTAAGAAACTGTCTGAATGGAAGAGCACCGGCTTATTTAAAGGAAATGTTAAATTTGGTATCGGATGTTCCTGGTCGGAATCATCTGAAATCAGCAAAGCACGGAGATAATGACTGTCCTCCGTTCAAAGCCTCTGAATAGAGGCGCTTTACAAATCTACAAGGCATGCAATGTAACTGTTTCAAGAGAAATGCTTTAATATAGTTTTAATGTGGTTTAAATATTGTAATTATGTGTGAAATAAATGTTGTAATAATGATAATAATAATAATTAATATTATTATAATTAGCTTATAATATTTAACAATAAATTTTATTTAATTTTTATTTAATTATCATTTACAATTATTTCATCTCTTTATGTGTGTTTTATGATGAAAATAAAAAGATGTTCCCATTATTATTATTTTGTTATTGTTAATAATTTATGCTATAACAATAACAACAATGAGATAACATATTATTTAATATGTACCTGTATGGCGATGAGGTAGGTAGGATTTAGGAAAGACAACGGTACTAATCAATTATAATTAGTTACTTAAATTATTTAATTGAAGTTACAACTGGTTTGCTTGTCCTTAACAAATATAATATTTTCTGCAGTATAATATAAACACATTTACGTGAAAAATATTGTTTAACACAAATACTGTCTCCAATAACACGCTTATGGTAATGGAAAAACATTAAACATTGTCAAACACCCAGTTATGTTTAATGTGTAGTAAAGTTTATGCATTCTAAGTATATGGTAATAAATGTATAAGAGAAATTTTAATTTAATGGTTAATAAACTTCAATTAAAAATGAAATTTTGAAAGATGTTCATCGTACTAGCAAGGAACCAGCCTAGAGATTGCACAATTCAGCGTATTTTCAGTGGTATATTTTTAGACATTGAGTATGACTATGGTAACGTGCTTATTCAAAGCTAATGTTTGTGCATGAATGTTGCTGCTTTTAGTTCGGGGTACTGGGCCTTCAATAAGGATGAAATATGTAGTTTGTCATTAAAACAAAATTTATTGAAAATCAAATAATCTTTTTTTATTATCTATTCAAAAAATATTTTATATATATCAGAAAGAAAACAACTTTGGAATAAAAATGTGATATTTAACGTTTGTAAAAACAATTGCCAAGTTTCCATCTTTTAAAAGGACGATTGTGTTTGTGTGCTTGTTATAAATTTTAACTTTTTATATGTCCACAATTCTTCATACTAAAATAAAATTTCAAAATGTGCTCTTTTGATAATTCAGCGGTCCTTGAGTTACACATAAGATGTGGAATTAAGCAATGGAATTGAACGTCCCTACCTTAACGTTTGCGTCAGTATATTCTCTATTTTAATTTTGCTAATTTTTAAAAATTAAACGCTGGGGCATCGCTGTATAATTAGGATAAATATGTGGCGTCATTATTGTTCTTACTTCAAACGTTTATGATTCCACAAAAGATGTAATATCCGCTCCACACGACGAACATTCATATTATGTTCGAAAGTGTAAGCACGGCAGGATTGTCTTTGACTTTGGGACAAACAGTATTCGAACCAGACCATTGCATAAAAACAGGACGGGACAGCACTTCCATCGACTGAGCTAACTCGTCAACAACATCAAAAACTCTTTGTCAACTTTTTCCCAATTTCTATTTAATGTCCTTTTTATTTTAATTTCTTTCCATGTTCTAAAATGGCAAACCATTTTAGAACTAAATTACAAAAGCAATATTTGAACAAAATAAAAGCATAAGGTTTGTGAAATGAAATAAACAACATTAATTGTAGTTACCATAAGCGCACACTTCAGGAGCATGTTTCACGTCGATATAATAAATGATTTAAATCAAGTATGCATAGAGTATCTATGTATGTGGGTGAAGATGATTGAAAATTCGAATTAGGTCCTATACACTTGAGAATGTATTAGAAAGCTCTATATTAATCTAACATTAATAAAATAAATAATAACGACAAGAATATGGTTAGAAATATTGAGAAAGTAATTAAAATAACCTATCCAACGCTAGAATTTGATAGATTTCATGAAATACTGTATATAATTATAATAAATATATGTAGGTAAAAATATGATATCAGTTACATAACATTTTTACTATGTGCAAATATACTACATATTACTATTTTTATTGATATATATTATAAGTTTATATACACATGTAAGCTGTATAAAAACATTATGTATAAATATACATATAAATATATATATTTGAATATTTGAATATTTTATTTTCTCATAAAAGAGGGGTAAACTAAAAAGCAACCAAATGCTTGTAGGAAAGTCACCCTATCCAAATATAATCAACACTGATCAACATAAATCAAAGGTTAAAGTAGTTCAACAAAAATCAAAGATTAAATTAGTTCGAAATAAAAGGTACATGGGGAATACATTCTTTAAAGTTATTACGATTGTTTACATTATTTTTACTAATATTTAATGTAAAATAATAAAAACATAATTGCCACTATATATATATAAGTTATATATTAGTTCGAAATAAATGGTACAAGAGGAATACATGTATAACACATATAGCATCATATATATATATATATATATATATATATATATATATATATATATATATAAATAAAATAAATATATATATATATATATACACATATATATATATATATATATATATATGTAAAATATATATATATATATATATATATGTGTGTGTGTGTGTGTAAGGATTACAGAAAATTGTGCAATCCACTTCCAGCCTTTTAACAGGGGACCTTTTGGCATTAAGTCGGAGTATATTGTTAGTTTTTACATGTGTTTGTTGGCCTACTAAATAATTTAATTTATTTTATTTTAAAATATTGTCAAATGTTTTAATTTTTATCTGTTTAGTTTTTAAAATTTCACTTGTCATTACCTACTAAATTAGTAACTGTAATAATTTTTTATTGTTTTTTATTATGATAATTTCTTCATAATTATCAATTGAATTATTTTTATCAATTGATAATAATAAAATTATTATAATTCAATTGAAATTTATGGTATAATAAGAATTATACTCTAATTATTAGATCAGCATCAGATGTATACTAATTTTTGATGAAATATTAAATAATTAAATTCAATAATATGACATTATTATTATTATTGCTTAGTGACTATGTCACTTCTAATAAAATAAAATAAACTCTTTTTCTATTTCATGGTTTTTACTTTAAAATTCTACTGTTGAATTGATTTTGTTTGAGATTTGTTTTTTTTTTAACAAAATAAAAAAGTAAAGTATTGAATAATAAAGAATTCAATTTCAATTTAGTTACTTCAAAATAAATAGTTAATTGATGAAGATTGAAGGTGTCTAAAAGTTTATGAATAGTATTGAATATTATTTCAATTATTTTTTAATTTAAAAAATTATTGTTTAATTTTAATAAAATATTTATTGGGAATATTCAATAGTGATTACAAATTTAACTTTGCTAGTATTGATTGATTTATTAATTTTAAGTTTGTTAAACTAGGTCTTGTCTTGGTCATGGAAAAAAATTTTTCTAACAAAAAAATTATTATTTTTTGTTTCTTTTTAAATGACATCTTGTAACTAATTTGGTTCTCTCCCTTGTGATTTTTCTGTTTTTTCTAATCTAAATTATGGGTATTCACAAATTGTATTTGTTTTGTTAGCTGATAAAGGTATAAAACTGATTCGCAGATAGCAAAATGGCAAGCAGAGGTGGCAGCAGTGAATCCGTTATCAGGATCCCTCCATATTACTACCTACATGTCCTAGACCAAACCACAAATGTTACGAGATTGGAGATTGGACCCAAAACCTACATCAGACAAGATAATGAAAGGTTGGTTAGATCTAATGCTAATGCTAATCTAATGCTAATCTAATAATATATAGAAGATTGGTTATAAATGACTGATAATGACTAAATTATTCATATCAACCAAAAAATTGCAAAGCCATTTCAGATATAAAAGGGAAACTTTCGTTGTTCACTAATCAGCTATAACATCTGCTTCAACATCTAAAAATAGGTGGTCTGTTCTATCTAAACTTCTACATAAAAAATCTTCTCACTCATCTTTCTCTGCTCAACAGTTTCATGACTTTTTTGTAAATAAAATTACTTCTTTAAGAACATCTAATTCTAATTTTCCTTCTCATAACTTTACTAAACTTACTACTGAATCTTTCTCTGTATTTACTCCAATAAATCTTTTAGAACTAACTAAAATTATTAATTCTATGTCGTCTACAACCTGTTCTCTAGATCTACTTCCTTCTAATTTACTTAAAGAATTCTTTTCAATATTTTATCCAATCATTCTCAAATTAGTTAATTTATCTCTTTCCACCTCTAAATTTCCTACTTCTTATAAGAATTCTATTGTTATTCCTATTCTTAAAAACACATCCCTAGATCCTACCTCTTTATCTAATTATAGACCTGTAACTAATATTACTTTCATCTCTAAAATAATAGAAAAAGTAGTTTTTAATCAACTCTCATCCTATTTAGACTTTAACTCTTTGCTACCTGTATCTCAATCTGGTTTCAGACCTGCTCACAGTACTGAAACTTCTTTACTTAAAATACACAATGATATCCTTCTCTCTAGTGACAATAGTAATCTTACTCTTCTTCTTGCTCTTGACTTTTCCTCAGCTTTTGATACTGTTG